GGGGACAAAACAAATAATTTTTACAGCCTCAACTTGCCAGAAGCCACGAAAGCATGTGAGACACCCAGGCCAAGAAAAGTTCTGAAGCCTGACCTTGCACCAATCATCTCCACAGGACAGCGGCCCGCGGTATCCCGCTGTGCAGCCTCTGTTGGCCCGCCTGTTGAGGCCATTCTTGATTGACACTGCCCTCAGGAAGCTGTGGATGCCTGCTGAAGCTGTGGATGCGCAGGCAGTGAGCGAAGCAGGGCTGCTTGGCCGAAGCCCTCAACCGTTACTCCTTGGTTCATAGCTATAGATGGGAGGAATACACACTCAGGAGTTCCAATCCAGGCCCAAAGTGAGTGGGATATCTTATTTGGCACCCCGAAAACCCTCCAAGAACCATCCCTGGGATGAAGACCTTTTCAGTCAATTAGAAGTCCTCCACCCCATAATCGAAGGTTTGTCCCTCCACCCGAACATCAAGACATAGACGTGAGAGACTTCTTTGAAGAACTGCTTGGATGGGGGGGCCATGGGCCTGCCAGAAGATTTCTTCAGGAGAACGCCACATCATCCAGCAGGGGGGGTTGGGGAACTCCTGCTGCCGCTCCGTGGTCCCCTCCCATTTCATGGGGAAGAACTGGGTCTCCCTCCAGTGACGCGTCCGGGTCTCAACCACAGTCTCACAGTGCTTTCAGAGTAGGTGGCAAAATCCCCCGAGTTCGGAGGTCGACAGACCCGCAGCTGTCGGTGGGGCCATTGAGCGAAGCCATCAAACGGCGAACTGGGCTGCTCCAGGCAGCAACGAATCGTGTTCACGTGTTCACCCACGGCCGGCCTAAGAGGCCATGTGAAGGTGCTGTAAAGAGAGGAGCATTCCCAAAGACCACAGAAATAGGGTTTGTCATACTGGATGATAATAGTAATAGTATGTAATACTTGGTAAAGAAATGTAATAAAGGGCCCAGGGCTGGTCCAACAACTGCGATAGTGATAGTTGTTACGGACTCTTATTCATACTGATACACACCCAAAACTACCACAGTCACATACAGTCACCCTCCTGACATCCCCAGAACGATCGAACATCGAAGGTCGACCTTCCCGTGTTGAGCAGTCGAACGGAAGGCGAACGGACAAAGGTGGGGAAAGATTGGTACACCTTGAAGTTCCAGGGTTTGCGCGCTCGGCAGTGGACAAAGTGTGGGGATGCTGGATGAAATCGTTCGGCGAGATTCTAAGACTCGCGCCGGTGAAGGGGTAAAATCGTTCGGTGGGTGGGCCCGACGTTGCTGGTAGTTTTGGGTGGCATTCCCAGAAAGACCGGAAGAAAAGGCCACTGCCAGCACCACGGATTCGGGTGTCCGTGAATAGCCCCTTGGGGGGCAAGGGGTGTCGATTAACCACCCCTTGGAGGTCCTGGTGTGGAGTTGGTTGAGAGATCATTGAGGTTTGAAGCTCTTTCGGCAAGCAGCCTTTTTCGAACAACGACTTTGAGGTTCTCAGATTGAAGGACGCCGACGTCCCTTGTGAGTCTAGTGTGGTTTCTCACGACTGCTGGCTGCTGTGCTTAAAAATGTGTCGGTTTCCCAACAGTCGCCATGGCCCACATATCCCCACATGTTGGACAAGACTTGAGTTGCCAGAAGGACCCTCACCCCCCATGGGGGCACGGGCATGGCATACCACCAGGATCTTCGTTCTCATTCCCCGGATCACTTTCGTCCAAGCCCGAATAGAAAAACCGAGAATCGAAGAGCATCAAAAGATTCTGAACCTGCACCCCATAGGTATCCAGGTATTCTCAACACCCTCAACACCTCGGATCACTCGGCGGGAGACGTACTTAGCCAGAGAAAGCCGAGAGCCGAGAGATTCCCTTTGAATCTGATGCAACCCTAGGGCTCCAACTACCTTGTCAGAAGGTAGTTAGACCCCCCTAATTCACCCCAAGCACCGGAGGTAGGACTGGAGCGCTATGGGGAAGTGCATGACTACCATGACTAAGTGTGACCCGCGCACCAAAAAAGACGGCGTACGAAACAGGCGGAAGGCGGGGCCACTGTTCCCAGTCGAAAGTGTTGTTGCCAGCACCACAGAGCTTTCTTGGTGGGTTTTGTTTGACACCTGAGATATGTATGTTCCCTCCCAAAACCCACCCGAAATCCGTGGTGCTGCTGGAGATTCCTCACCTCGACCACCCCAACCACCCGAAATCCACCCCAACCCTTCCCACCGCTTGATGTGCCTGAACTGCAAGCGCCTCACATGTGTGGCACGCCGGAGCTCTTCACGAGGAAGCAAGTTGAGGCGACTCCAGGGCTGCCCTGGCGACCGACCGAGACTGGGACCTCGGCAATGAGAGGGGCATCCGGTTCCTTCAGGACGGAAAGAAGAGCTCATACCCATGATGTTGGATGAATGCGAAAATCATGGGTGCGTTGTTTGTGGTCAAACCCTCACCTTGGAATCCTCTGGAAGCATCCGCATCATCCCCTTCAGAAAAGCATTTCCAAGCCAGCCCCGCAGGCCAACAAGCTCTGGGTTGCACCTAAAACACCTGGCAAAGGGGAGTTTTCACCGCATACAAGAGCTTGAAGGTGGAGCTTGGACGCGTTGCCAGGCAATAGTGCGTCTGGATGTTGATGTTGGCCATGTACATGTATATTATATATATATATGAGAGAGAGAGAGAGTCAGAGTGAGTGAGAGAGAGAGAGATCATGAGAGGTTCTGTATTTATGATTATATTACGTATGTGCAAGTTAAATATATAGTTAAATGCCGATTGAAACCGCCGACCGCATTGCTGCAAACGCCGTTGCTGGCTAAAGCTGTAAAGTCTCTGGCTCTGCACGGCTTGACACAAAAGTTCCACCTTTATATACTGTAAATGCCAGTTTGAACTAGCAAGGTCAAAGGGTCTGGCACCTGAAAGGCCAACTGAAATCCACCTGAAATGCCAACCACTTCAAGAAAAGGTCGGTCTGCTCGCCTTTCTGCTCGCCTTCTTACGACCGGCCCCGCTCGCCTCCATGAAGGGCGGGATCCGCTCGTAGAGTCACATGCACTTGGCCCCTAGCGGAGCGGCGACGTCGCCACGTGGTCGACGCGAGGTCCGGACTCGAAGAGTTCTGCTACGAACGTCACAAGAAGCTATATAAAGTAGTAACTCAAGGGCTTCGCGACTCGAAGGGAGCGATCGAACGACTAAACGTAGCTCCTGGCCTTACGAACGTAACAAGAGGACGCGAACCGAACGTCACATTTGACCCATGGTCCGAGCTTTGCTCCGTCTACCAGCGCCTGGCTTTGCCGGCGAGATACTCCAAGCGCGCCTGGGCGAAAGAACCCCTTTTCTGCTGCCGAAGTGGCACATGACTCGAACACAAACAACAGTTGTGTTGTCACTGGTTGTATTGTTGAGGATGGCTTTGGAGAATTAAACAGGTGAATATAAGGTAAAGAAAAGGTATCTGCAAAAGCTGGTGTCCCATGTTCTGCGAGCCTTCCACTCAGTCCTTTCCAAGACTGGTGAAGCTGGTGAAGACTGGTGTAAAATCTTCAGTAAAAACACTGGGGAAATCCATGGCAGGCCAGGAAGCCTCGAGGGTAAGGTACTTTGTTGAGACTGCCAAGTGTGGGGTCGGAAGGGAAACTACCTGACACTACAGGGTCAGTTTGACCTCATTTTGTATATATATATATATACACCCTGGGAGTCCAAGACCGTTTTTAAAACGGTCCTTAGGTGATCCGAAAAGGAATTTCCTTTACTTGGGTAGTGCCGAAAGTAGTCTTTGGACTTCTATAGGGTACATACAATCACCCTGTGAGTTAGCCAGGATAGGTTGTGCATGGTTGTGCTAAGCATTCTGTAGTTATAATACAAAAAGTCGTTCCCCATAGGCCTACAGAATGAAAAAAAAACGGGCAAAAAACCGAGTCTCTACAAAATGCGTAGCACGCAAGCCAAAAACGGGCATTTGGGGACAGGGTCTCCCAAGTCTTTCATACCCCCTCTCATCTTGGAACAAGGAGTCAACTTCGACAGCGACGTACCCCGTGGCGCGGTCCGGACGGACCATCGGCGCCTTGACCCGGCGGGTGGAAGACTTGCAGAGCCGCAGGAGCTGCAGCTCCTCTGAAGACAAGGAGGTGCATCTGTGGATCTCCATAGGGGTTGGCTTGGTTAACCAGGATGAAGCAAGTCCAGAGAAGGAAGACAACATGGGCACAGAACTCGGCATCTAACTGCTGTGGTGGTTGAGTTGTTTTTTTTTTCGATTTCGCTGATCAGGTTTTTCGTCACAGCTGCTCGCGCGTATCAGTCCCCAGTCGGTCTCCAATCGTTTGCTCACCGGTGTCGGCAAGGGGTGACATGTCGGCAAGCTGATCGGCAGCTGAGGGAGTGGGAAACTTTGGAAAGCAGAACTTCATCATCCGTCCTCTTCCTCATTCAACCAAAGGCCGCGACTCACATGATGCCGCTTCGCGAGGTATTGGTCCTCGGGAATACAGATGAATACGGAGCGGCTCTTTCACCATGAAGGAATGGATGGTTGGACCTAGGTTGCTCTTCTTACACTTGAGATCATGTCCACCACCTGATAGAAGCTTCAACTATCCACCACCCCAGTCTGACTCCCTCTTTGCCACTGGAACATCTCCAGTCTGATGATCAGAGCATCACCTACATCAGTCTGAGTTGAACGCATCACCGTACCTTAGAGAGGTGGATCCACAGGTGGCAGTGGATCCACATCTTCCACTCCGATCATCAGGTGGCGCCACATCGCCGGTGGGCAGAAGGACAGATCGAGATGTATCGTTGTTTTAATGGATGGTTTTTAATTTAGGGCGGCTTCCCCCCAATATGGACCCGAACTTGAGAAGTTGGGAATCCTTTTTGAGGGGGTCCATGCGCTTTGCTTGGTTGAAAGCGGGAAGGCTTTGTTCATTCGATGGCGAACTCGGCGTAGTGGTGAGTCCAAAAAGAATCTGTTGTGAGACAATCAAAAAGAATCTCGGAAACCAAGCAAATCCTCCATTGTTGCAAGATCAGCAAGGCAGTACGGTGGCGGCACATAGGTCCCTAGGTGACTCGAGAGGAGGCCTGTGATGTCAAGTGCTGCTTGGTGCATGTCACGTATCCCTTTTTGGTAAATTCCGCCATGTGGTGCTGAACATCCAACAGATTTAAGCTTAAAGGCCTTGATTCGTTGTCTTGCATCGCACCGTGATGCAAACCCCACAGCATAGCCTCTGGTCATCCAAGTCACTAGTTCCAAATGCAGCTCCATGGGCATGCTCACATCTTCTACGAAGGCCACGCTCAAAGCCAACTTGCAACGCACAGCATGAGCGTCCGGATGTTGATCCTCCAGGCTGTTCGCGAACCTCGGTTCGCTGTGATGCCTGTTCGAAAAAAAACGCGTCGGGTAACGCCTGAAAAGCAAGTCTTGGAGAGTGTCTTGGAATTCGGACCCCACCAACACATCCTAATGCACTGTGACTGCTCACCCCACTCAACTCCCCACGGTCAAGATGTCTTTCGAACTACTTGCCCGTTTTTGTTGAAGGCTCTATGGCTGCCCAGCAATGCAACCAAAAAAAACATGAGGGTGACTTTGCCGTGTGGAAGTGTTCATTGGCCAATCCCAGTCGCCACCTTTTTTACCAGACCATCGCCAAGAAAATCTGATGCACCTTTCATGTGCATGGGGCCTGGCAGGATTCTGGTCCCAAACTGCCTGACTGAAGGACGCTCCCAAATGGACCGCTCGGGCCGTGGCTGATTGAAGACCCACTTCTCCTCCGCCAGGAGCGGCACATCAGTCCAGCAATTGTCCTGTCTGAAGCTGCATGAAGCTCAACGAGCAGGGCCCAAGGAGGAACCCGACCTACAGGGCACTTTGTTCTAGAGCCGAGGATTTGTATATACCTGGAACCCAACTGACCCGTGTTTTGATAGGAAAAGGTCATATTTTGCGTTGTTGGTGGTCCAAAATAGAGGTCATTCAGGTTCTAGGTGTATACATATAGAGTAGGGTGGCCCAAAAAACCGCTCTACACTACAGGCACCCTACTTCGCACTGACCAACGAGCAAAGCCAACCAGCCAGCTGATTAGTCAGCCAGCCAAGGATTTGTTGCCTCTTGCTTACCTGTGTCACCAACCTCGAAAGGGCCCCTTGTCGGACTGGCTAGATGGAACTGGAGAACTTGAGAAGTAAGTCTTTCTTGAAGTGGCGAGTTTTCTATTGTCAAAAGTGGCCATTGGTCGTACCCTGTCGATCTAGCTACCAATCAATTACGTGAAAAACCACCTATCAAGTCGGCAGACCCTCCGCGCAGGATTCTGCTGCGGCTCAAAAAAGGGTTGGTCGCTCGCTGCGTTCACCTTGTTCCAAGCTCACGATGTTCACAAGTGTTATTCTTTGGGCCTCCCTGGCCTTGGGTCCCCCCTGTGGTCTTGAATGAACACTTGTACTGTTTTCCTGGAAACTCCAGGCTCAAATGCGGGCCCAGTCGGAGTATGATCGAAATGAAAGAAGGAAGAATAGAAAGAGATATTGAACATGCACGTGCGTTTGGTGTATGCCAATAAAAGTGATGAGAACATGTGAGAACTTCAGGGTCCTTCCAGGGTTTCCTATTTCAATTGACCGAAGATATGTAGTGATAGACGCATATCAACTCTAATTGCCCTGTGAAAGAAACAACCATGTGACTCTCTTTGGCCTCTTTGGCCTGAAACATTGGGGGAGACCCGATCCGGTCGACCGGGTGGATTGTAAAGACTTCTGGTGGATTGTGCTACTCACAAAGGTAACACACCCGTCAAACCTGCAGATTTAACCCCCTCACATCATGTGTCACAGCTGATCGATTGAAGATCTACTCCGCACGGGTCCAAATCATAAAGGCTGGTGAAAAAAACAAAAAAACATCTCCACACAAATGGATTCATCATATTGGAGACTTGTATTAATCAACGGTCTACATTGAGTCTACATTCAGTCTACATTCACTTCTTTGCCTGTAGGAATCTGTAGAAGCACTGAAAAAAACATCTGTTGGTTCAAGGAGTTGCAGGGCGGAAGGGGTTGTTTAGTTGATACCAACTGTTGGGCGCTCTCTCCGGGGCCCAGTCCAGCTCGGCGAAGGCTTTGGCATAGTCGCGACTCAGCAGGCAAAGCAGCGACAAGTACAGCGACGCAGCCAAGCTCGTCGCCTGAAAAACCCGTTTGCACTCGCCGTTGGCGGCCGGTTCGCGGCGGTACTAGAGCGGAACCCGCGAGCGACAGCTGTGCGGTCTGCGGTTCTGGCCCCCGTTTTCGCAGCATGCGTTTTGGTTGGGAGGTCCAAGAATGGGCTCCCATCTCACTGAATTTGGAGATGACCATGTCTGACTCTGAGACCCTGAAGTGAAAAGAACATGCTTACCAGCTGTTCGAAGAAATGGTTTTTGGTCCCATGGAACTCGGAGCGGAGAGTCCGTTGACAGGGGCGCTCCGAGTTCCGTCGGCACGGGCACCATCACCCCGACTTGTTCACTGCTCGTCTGTGGATCTGATGGCCCATGATGTCCCATGACCTCTTCCCCCATGACCTCTGTGGGACTTTCCCTGGTAAAGACCTTCAGAAGCTCATGTGGCAACATGTTGGGTAAACGTGGGGTTTGCCCAGAAAGCAACATGCTGAGGACCAGAAAACAATCCGATTTACAAAATTGTTGCCTTTCGGGCCACTCAACTCATCGTTTTTGGAGCTCATGAGCGATGACTTGAGTGTATATTCAAGACATCATCGTCGGCTTATCCTACGCACCATGCCCGCAACGCATCAGCGCATCATCCACGTAGCGCATCAGCTCAGCATCAACATCATAAAGCATCAGCGTATCATGTACATCATGCACCTAACGCATTAGCGCATCATCCGCATCATGCACAGAAGGCATTGGCTCATCATCATCATCATCACCATCATCATCATCATCAGCAGCAGCAGCGGCAGCAGCATCAGCAGCATCAGCGAAGCGGATCATCTCCATCCCACCAGACCATGTTGGATCATCGGAGAGGGTTGCCTTTCGCAAACGCCCACGACAGTGACCCCGATCCATTCGGTCAATCCAATCATGACCAGAGGCCATTCAATCCATTCCGCCTTCAAAGACCGGTTAAGAAAAGGTTAACCTGGTTTTGTGGCGATAAAATCCTTCGTAAAACCATGCTTGTTCGGGATTCAGGCTGTTGATGGTGGATGGCAATTGGATCAATCGATTCGTCTGGTGGCTGGAGTCACTCTGAGCATTTAGCCTCGTCAACAGTTTTTGCGACGGCTGGGCCTCATGAAGACGCCTGTCATCCATGATCTCATGAAGACGCCTGTCATCCATGATCTCAGAGCAGCAAGGCAGCGACATGCATCAAATAAGCAAGCATTGAGATGCTCCCCTGCCTCCTCCTCCTCCCCCTCCTCCTCCTTCATCCCATCAGCCCACCCAGCCAGTTGACCTGAATCAACAACCTCCTTTGGACCAAAGCCAATTCCAGGCCAAACACACGCCCCAAACCTGACGCCCCACTGTTCCCGCCTGGAGAAAGGTCTGGGTGCCATGGACTGGATAGAGGTAGTATGGGAAGTCCATGGTCTCCTCACTCGATCCGCCCCGCACGACGAGAAAGACCGGCACGGTGCCGAGAAAGCGAGGCCATGCGGATGGTTGAATGGGGTGGTCAGTCTGTGGGGAAGGTCGGAAGCGCAGGAGTAGGTACCTAGGGGGCGAAGGTTCAAAGACCACGCAGACGCATCCTTCAGGGCTTCCCAATGGTTCTTCCCCCCAAAAAAAAGAGGTCCCCAAGGCCCAATCAACACAAAAGCTGAAAGCAGCTGGTAGGTCTATGGCAGTGTTCGGATGTTCCTGGTAAACCTGTTTCACTCGTCAACGCTGTTTCGGACGTGTTGGACGTCGCAGCAAAAAGCGAGGCGGACCGGTCGAGGCATTGGGGGGCCGGCGCAGCAGTTGGAAAGGTACCAACAGAGGTTGAAGGACCCGAACTAGCCTATCCCACAGGTACCCCAGATTGGTCCTATTTACGGTCACTGGCTACCTCTCTTGGTATATACTGGTTTTACCACAGTTTGTCAAGTGAGTGGTGAATGGATACCCCGAATCACCTCTAAAGGGGCTAATCAATAGACACTCCTTAATTTAACTAGATTGTTAATAGGCAAAGGTACTGAATAGTGCACCTGGAGAGTTCTTCTTCACTTTGCATCTTCTTCAATGTTTGGTGTGCCGTTTTGATCGATTTCGGTACTCTTTTTCAGGCCCACTCGATAACCATGAACAACACTGCCCACACCAAATTACAGACTACTTCTTTTGAAATGAGGCCGTAGTCACCATTGCTGAAGATGGCGCCTACGTCCCCTCCTGCCATCCAAAAGAAGAGCGATTGAAGATCAAGCGCGTGCTGAAAGGCTCTCCCTTCGCCAGGGGCCGCGTCACATCCTGACAAAGACGACGAAGGGTCGCGGCCCAAGCCGTTGATGGGTGGGATGAAACGGTCGAACTGTCCGAGCTCGAGAACGAACTGAGAAACCATCCCTTTGGAACTGATCCAATCACCTTCGAACCGATCGAGGGGTGGCAGGGAAGTGGCAGTGAATCCGATCTGAAACCTGAAATACCTAGATCCAGCAGGTCCATCTTGCTTCGAAAAGGCCTCCAACAGCCGGGACACCAGCGCGCAAGGGTTCCGAGTCCTTTCAGATCAGGCGCACGATCGGCGATCGGCGACGTTGCGGGTCGGAAGTGGATGGAAGTGACTCCCTCTCCCATGACTAGAACCACAGAGTTTCACAGGGGTCCAGCACTACACCAAAAAAAAGACTTTCCGTTGTGCTGCATACCTCAGTGTCGTTCTTCCTTTCGTGCCCAGGCTAGGAATACCTCTCAGTATGTTGCTGAGCGCATTTGCACTTCCAGGCCCCCCCTATGGTCGCTCATCCTGCCCATCCAAGGTTCGTGGTTGGGAAGAAGCAAGCGGAGATCACCCTGGGCATTTTCGATCAGCAAAGCCTGCAAGGATGGTGGAAAGAACTTCTCCAAGAACTGATGATCTGGAAACCATCCACCGAACCTCTTCTGAACCTCTTCTACCTTCAATCAACTCTTCAATCATCGTCCCTTTCTTTTTGGATCAAGCAAAAGGTCCAGCACCGAATTTCACTCCGACTGTTTTAGAAAGCAATTCCCCCCCCGAATGCTGCAGGCTAAAGGCTGGCGTTCAGGAATCTTTTCAGCTGAGTTCTATCCCTGTTTGATCCCTATATTCTTCTTGATCCACAAAAAAGATCAAAAAGTACTAATGCCTCCCTGTAGCAACTGCCTGGCCCTGAAGTCTAGTTCGGTGCTGGCGTTGTGAAGCTGTGCCAATGCCGAGCTAAATTTCTCTCTTCAGAGTCCAGAATCCGAAGAGCCTGGACTTTGGTAGGATAACACCGACCACCAAGCATGCTTAAGGGAATCCCGCTCTTTGAGCTAACTGCACAGTGCTTCATGGCTGAAGGCTGCAGCTTCGACCACCAACCAGCCTGACCGACCAACCAACCACGCCTGTTCCAAGCCCTCGCGCAGCTTCGCCAGAGCATTGGAGGTCTCTTCCTCCGACTTGACCTGAGAAAACAGACGACTTCGGAGCGTCGTCTTCACAGAAAGAGAGAGAGAGAGAGACACTGTTTATTGCTCTGGAAAAGCCATCCCCTTGCGCTTCTTGGTCATGTCACCAACTTGAGTAGAGTTGGCAGATCCAAACCCTCCAGTTCCCTACCTCAATGAAGTCCAAGTCACAAAATCCACCTCCAACCACATCTCAAGAAGCCCCCCCCTCCAATGCGCACCTCCCACCCTCGCTGCGAAACTCGCTCGTCTTAGTGCACAAGCGACGAACCAGCCGCCCGCATCCTTCACCTCCAACGAGCCCTCCTTCGGCAAGAGCGTCAGCTTCAAGCGCGGAAGCTCCACGCACACCTCGGACGCCGGACGGACGCATCGCCAGGCGGCTCGCACATGGAGCCAAAAAAGAGGGACAAGTTGAGTGGTTGATTTGCCTGAGTTGTTTACAAACCGCAAAACCTCAGACCTGCATCCAGACTCCCTCCCCAGTTTCAGCAAGCTGTCAGACCTGGGTCTGCGACTTCTCCGGGGGTCTGCGACTTCTCAGAGGGCCAAGCGACTTCGAGAGAAATGATTTGGTGACGTCCAGGGAAAAACCCTCAAGAAGTGTCATGCTGAAAGAAAATCACACACCCTTGGGAACAAGTTGGCACAGGAAATTGAACTACCTGGAAATCCAGTCCCAACCAGAAAGAAGCCTGGAGGTCTTCCCAGTCACAACCACTTGTTCTATATGTAAAGGATCTCTAGAAATCCATTTTGGAACAATCATTTGTTTCTGGTTTGGACTGGGTTTCCAAGTATGGATCCTGTTGGAGTGGAATGTTGCTCAGAGACGTCAAGCTGTGGAAGATCATCCCTGGTGAAATCCAACGTGTTCCTTGACAGTCATGCACAACCCTGTGAGCAAGTGCTTTAATTTACAGTAGATACCAAAATTTAGACCAATTCAAAGCCCATCTTCAGAAAGTATGTTCATCCCAAATATCATACTCCAGGAAAGGAGGGCACCTGCAATCAGTTCTCAGACACAGCTATATAGATGTCCCAATACAACTGTTTAAGAGACGCCGCGGAGCAGTTCCTTTCAAAATGTCAAATGTCCTCAATTCATTCGGTGTGTTTTGCTGATGAATAGTCACACACACACACAAGAGCCACATGCAACATTTACTACGCCAATGCTTTGCCCTTCACTAAGATCATTTGGTTCCCCCTGATGATTTTCTTCCCATACACACGAGTTGACGAACATTGACATGAAAAACAACAAAAAACCATGGACCGTGATGACCTGAGTAATGGACCCTGCACAAGAAAGACGACAACAATCCTTCCACCCACAGCTCCACAGCTCCACAGGGTCCACCTCCTTACCGTTGCCTTCGGTGCTTCGCCATGCTTCTCACGTCTACGGCGACTCGAAACGAGTCCGAGTCATCTACGGAGCCTAGCAGGGTGGCCGAACCGAAGCCGCGGATCCCGCGTTTTGGGTGATCGTTTTGGGATGGAAGAGAGCGGATTCTTGGGATGGAAGCCAGAGATATGTTATAACATAACCTATTAGAATCATCTGCACCTAAAAAATGATTCAGCATCATATAACTTTGGATCCATTCCCGCATTCTTTGCTCAGCACTCATATAGCCGGACCCTCTTACCGGACCCAGATTCAAGCGGCGAGCTCGCCTGACTCACCTGGCAGCGGCGAAATGGATCAGGAACAGACCGCCCACAGCGACCAATGAGGTGGTAGAGGTTGTTTCATCCATCACAAGGGGATTACTTTTGTGGCATAACCCTCCCAAAGGTTAACCGTGTAAGTTCCAACTAGATGTTCCTCATCGACTCTCATCGACTCAGCCGTGGTTCTGAAACCGAAGTGGGCAGAGAAGAGCTCACATGCATCAAACTGCCCACAGAGCGAGCCGCGTCTCTCTTTCCTTTTGAGCCCCTTCGAAGCTATCGAAGCGCAGTAGCCACGAGCCATCGAAACCGAATTCCACAGATTGGATCTTCCAATCTCCACCACTCAGCCTTAGCGCTGACCAACGCACGCGGCGCACGCAAAGCAGACTCCAGTGGAGCGACGTTAGTTTGATAGGCACGGCTAGCCAAAAACGATTGGGACCAAAAACCTTAAATAAACTTCGAGGGGAGTCGATTGCCCTTCCTCCAAAATGGTCCATCCCCGCCACTCAATGTCTTGGTGGCTCGGTGCCAAGCCTCAAAGTCACTAATCGATCGGCATCCCTGCCTGCCTGGTTGTGGTCACTGCATCTGTGCCCCTACCAACGCAACGTCTTCGAACAAACCGCCAACATCCCCATACTGCTTCAGGCCCTCAACAGAACTGTGCCACTCAAGAACGCACCACCTGAGCCCGAAAACAAACTTTGCCCACCAGCCAGGGGAGAACGAATCAATTTCAAAGAAATGCAAGCTCTACTCAGGGCCCGAAAATGCCCCCTCACCTGGTGAGCAATCTCTACTCCTCCAAGCCCACGGGGCCCCGTGTTCCGTAGGGGGGAGGACTTCCGGACCCTGTGGCCATCGCCATCGCATCGGCCCCAGGCGCTGCAAGAGTCGTTCCCCTAAGCGGCGCGGCAGCCGGTCGCAGCGCCAGCGAGGCTTCAGGCCATCGCGGAAGGAGACGAACCAGGCGCCCTCGTGGGACACGCTCATGGTGTCCACCTGCCGTCCGGTGTCGGTGTGAAAAAAGGCCGTTTCGGTGAGCCTTGCTGAGCCGGAGTTCCATCGGTCAGCCTTGGATCCGGCTCTGCAAGAAACATAAAGGGCCAAGTTTACTGGGTTCTTGAGTCCTTGGGGCTAAGTGGATGCTTCAGAAGTCGCCCCCCAACTGCTGCTGTCGGTGCCAACCGGGGGGGGGCGCCAGACTTTGAAACACACCGAGGAAAGTTCAAGGCCTCTCCCACATAGGAAGCAGCTGATCATTTGGTCGCATTAGGATGAGAGAGAGAGAGAGACTTGCAACATCTTGCAATCATGGTTGCCGTCTAAGAACCCCCCTCAACAAGTGGACTGCTGTGTTCTCTGCTGCATCTTTCACCCTATTCGGCATCATGTCCCGCGTGTCCCGCGGGTTCCTGTGACAGCCGCTCCCGGTTCTGCGTGAGGAAGCACCGGAGGCTCTCGGGTAAGCCTGGCTCCCAACACCGCGGACGCGGAGTGCTTGGTGGAGGCCATCGCGTATACGTCGTGGGTTGGAGGCCATCGCTATTTCTGAACAAGAAGCTACTAGTAACAAAGAAGAAACAAGCCTCCCTGGAATGATCTTGAAAGTGAATGGCCCCCGAAAGGATCACCATTTCTCGACAAAGAGTTGCTGCCATCCACTTCCGCAGGAAGTGTATTGGTCGGTCATGTACCCCTCCTTTCAGGATCCGCAGACTCGTGCCCTGCCCTGCCCGCAGCGGAAACGAACTGCGGAAAAGGAACGGTTATGGGCCCATCCACCACTCTCGAAGAGCACAAAGTAGCCACGGTCCGGTGCGATGCAGACCTCGTGGCTCCGGGGGGCTGCGTCCGGGCGATCCTGTGAACCAACTCACTCGGAACCAAAGCACGTGATCCTGTCGGCAGGCAGACCTGCTCCTGCTTTACGAGACGCTGGGAGCGAGTTCGGCTGAAACATGATCTTCGAATCGTCCGTCGACCCCCCAAACACGAGGTCATATTGGATCGGGTCGCGGGAGGTGAGATTGGATCGCGTCTGGCTTCGGGTCGCCCACCATTGATTCAATAGCCTGAATCCCGAACAACCATTGTTGTACTAAGGGTTCTACACTGCAAAACCAGGGCAACACATGTTTTTATTAGTGGTCTTGGAAGGCTAGGGGAATGTTGTGTTTTGAGCATTTGACATTTGGCTCAACCAGTCGCCACCTGCTCATACCTAGAAGGAACATGCACTTGTTCACTGCTTCAGTTCCTGAAGCTTGGGAATATCCATGAATATCCAACTAATCCAGTAAACAACATCCTGTTGCGTTGTGTGACCGGTGTAAAAGGTCATGCTTGAGGGATGCGTCTTCTGATCGCCTCCGAACAGTCGTGAGCGTCGAACACGACACCCTTCATCGGAGTCGAGACACCCTTCACGAGTCACCCAGACAGTGTCCAGAGAATCTCTTCATCCCTAGGGCTCCAACCATATCCTCAGAAGGTGGTTAGACCCCCCCAAACCCACCCCAAGCATCTTCTCAGGAGGTGTTTGGAGCCTTAGGGCATCTCGTCCCCTTAGAAGGCCCTGGCACATAGGAGACACGGTGCTCCCGCTGTTCTTGCTCCTTGATCTGCTGAGACAGCTCCTTAGTTCCGAAAGCAAGAAGCCCATGAAGAGCCCATGTTCCACGCTCCAGTCGCTTCTTATTGGTCGATGCGAGAGGTCTCAGGGTGAACACCGGGTGCTACCCACGTGCCACTGGATGGTTTTGGCGAACGACCCAGGTTGTACTGGTACTCCAACTGGGGTCCCAATGGAGGGTCCACTGCAAGTCTTTGGGTCTGGGAAGTTCATGTTCCATGCGCAAGCGCAATGGCCTAATCTGGCAGATGTGAAAGTCCGATGCTTGGAAAACAATGGACCCTCTAGTTTGCCACATGGAACATCTTGACCAGGTACATGCCTGAGAGTTAAAATAGTAAAACACAAATCCCTCCATTAGCGGCACAAACCCAACGCGTGCGCGCAGAGGTCTGGACGAAGGATGCACATGGTCCTGGTGTACCATCATGTACCATCACAGGAACACCTTGATGTTGGGGAGAGTCGACCGGGACTGGAATATATGCCCACCCTGGCCTTTTCTCGGTCGGCATTCCCAGACAGGTCATATCTGGGAAGTGGGGGACGGGAGAGCGCGGTCAAGGAGCAGACCACAGGGACCAGCAGGTGTCGCCATTCACGAAGCCTCGGGTGGACATCATGACCGGCGTCGCGTCTGCCGCGGCCGGCGGCTGTTTTCGCGGAGATGGGGAGGTCTGCTGTTCTTCTCTGGTTCTGTTTTCGGATTCCAAGGTTTGGTTGATCAGAGTAGGCCTCCATCGACCCAAGGCAACCCTAGCTATTGAGTGCCATTTCCTGCAATCATCTGCTCCCCTCCGAGCCGTGCACGCTGGCGGAGGTCGGATTACGGCACCCCACCTTCCTCTGCCAGAGGAAGAAGGCTCAACCCATCATTTGCAAGCCCATGCAAGCCCTAAGGTCCTTCAATTTGAGAGATACGCCGATAGCCATCTGAGTAGGATCTCCGGCTCGACTTGACTTGCAAAGAATGGGATGATATGGGATGTACGGGCCAAAGCCCTCAGGCCGGAACACCAGCCTGCCCACCTCGCGCTCACGTCGTACACGTCGATCGACGTCGAATCCGGATGCTTCGAAAAATGCGTTTTCAGACCTAGTGGTCAGAGTTGCGTTCCACATGGTTGCGGGGATCCTGGGCATCTGCTACCACAAGACGGAACCTGTTTTGGCGTACTGTCCGGACCGTCTGCCCATCCAATCCATTCCGGACCGGGAACCACCGGACGTCGCCGTGCGGACCGGTGCCACCGAGTCCTGTTCCACGTGTGTCCAACTCGGTGGCGCCCCCGAGCACCGCTCCTCACGTGCTCCGGTGCCACCGAGTCCTGTTTCCCTCGTGTTGTAGATGCACCGAACGCGAACGCGGAGCGCAGGAAGTACTGCTTCTCCGGCCCCAGGGCGGCATAGACCACCTTGGCGTTGTGTTTTTTCATCGCAGCCGGCCGGCCGGGCCATTTCCGGAAAAGAGCAAAAGCGACCGGATGGGTTTTGCGGTGCGAGGTGATGGTTGAAGCCAGTTGAAGCCAAAGGTTCCCAAGCTGCCAGAGATGGTGAGGTAGTCTATAAACCACCCTGAACCAACCACACAAATATGTTGGAACAAAATGCTCGGAACCTAAGTCGAACTTAGAAGCATGATATCGGTCGAACTGGGATGCTGCTGGAAGGGCTGAAGCCCGGCGATGAACAACGGCTTCCACCGGAAGGCTGCCGGAAGCAGAGAAGGCTGGACGTGGGGTGAAACATCCGTTGAATATAGAATGTGGATGAATCAAACCCGCGGTCCAATTGTAAGACCTCTGCATACCTGGATATAGATCTCCGACTATGCAAAACGTCTGCCTTTCCATCTATTATACTATAAACCAGCGAACAGGCATACAGTGCTGCATAGTTGGAAATAGGAATGTGGGGTGTTTGATTCATCATTTATTCCACATCAACAGAAACACATCAACCGCTTGGGTCCAGGTTGGCTCTTTCCGGACCTGAGACCTTGCTGGGCTGGCCGGACCGAGAGGACAACGCGCAGGTCCACAGCCCTGCCAAACCCTCGCTTCGCCGCTTCGTCTACGTCAAAGAGTCACCTTCACAGAGGGCATGATAGGGAGTAGCAATCGTTCAAACAAATCGTCAAAAGGAACGAACCGAACACAGGGCGGAAAAACGACCTCCATTATGAGGAAACAAAACCAAAACCATGCGCATTCTGGAACCCTACAGGAGGTGTTTTCTGTTTCTGGTGCTAACAGGTGGCCCGAAACGGGTACGAACGTTCCATCAACTGTTGCCGACATGTCAGCGTCCACGAACTGGTTAAACCAAGAATGGACAAACGAAATTGCATGCCCGAAATGAAAAGTGTCAATTACACGGTCTTTACTAATTCATAAATACTTGCCGTTACAATGGTGTTCTGAAGGAAGAACCAGAATTCATGTTATGATGTTGATGGTGTTTGGTAAATGAGTCAATTATATAGTGCATTTCTTCTCTGTCTGTGTTTCTGAGCTCCCAAGCTGACTGATCCTCGCTCAAAAGGCCCACCATCTCTTCCGGCAAGTCCCACCAGAGCCTCGGAGAGGTACCGAACTGAACCAGGGTGAAACGACCTGCTTTTGGTTTGAAACAGCCCACGGATGCCCAGAGCAATCCGTATGACCCAGTTCACTGTGTTCAGTGTGACCCAGTCAAACCCAAGCAGGTACGAGTATGTTTTGTATGACCAACTCGTAACATGAGGTCAGTTCCTGACCCGAAAAAAGGGAATGATTGGGACTTCACTGAAGGGCTTGGGTCAGCGCATTCGCTGAGATGGGGGAACGTCTGAGCCCAGTGTGACGCAAAAAATCCTGGAATTGCTTTGATTTGGAAAGGACCATGTTTTGGAACGGTTGGTGTTCTGGAGGCAGAATGAGGTATCAGGAGCTATATATTATAGAAAATGAAGCTGGTGGTTGTAAATTGCGTTGTCAGTCCATTTATCTTCCCATCTCTGTTGGCCTTGGCCACCAGACGAACATACCGGAAGCATATATGGTGTGACCGAATGGAGAGGGTCTTCCATTGGTGACCGGTGTCGGTGTGACCTCCTGAATCGGAGGTTCACTCACTTATCGTGTGGGCCGAAGAATGGCACCATGGCCCATGGCACGCCGTCTTGGGTCGCTCCCCAAGAGCGAGCGTTGCATGGAGCGTGGCCGCCTGTTTGGGGTGGTTTTTGGGCCACCCCCCTTAACCTCTAAGGAGCTATAATTAGACACCCCATGGCCCGGGGGGCCCTGGTATAGGCACCTTCGAAGAGCACCCAACTCTTCAGGGTGGCACCGGCCTACTCTTAGTTGCCCTACTCTTGTTTTTGAGCACTGCTGAGTCGACTGGAAGCAAACTGGATTGCGGGACAACGCCCCATGTCTTGGCACACAACCCATGTCTTGGCCCCACCTGTCTCTAGGACGCCGGAAACCCCTACAACGTAAAAGATTGCTGTTGTTCGACTGCACGCGCTCCACTACGTGCCTGTTCTTCTTGCATGTGTGTCCTTCTTCATTCTTTTCCCACAACAGGAAGAATTTGTGCTGTCTCAGCACGGCGCCAGTGACTTGAATTGTCCTTGCAATTGTTCCCTGATTTTGAGGGGTACGGCGGTATGACCCATGAATGTGATCCATGTATTGCTTCCCTGCTGTAATGTAAAAACAACTTCACGCCAAGCAGCAGCAGATCTGGTTGCCGGATCAAATAACTTCCAGTGCCCAAAAGCGCGAAGCTTTCCTTGGGACTTCGCTGAAGCTTGGCTTAGGCTGGCTCAGCATGTCTGTCGAGGGCGCTTACTTAGTATGTCTGCCAGGTCTGCGGAACTGCGAGTGACACTTCCGCAAAATTGACCCCGAAGACGATGACGAGACAATGACATGGTCCCTGAAAACCACTGGTGCAGCTAAAGGAAAACAGCCTGAAAGAGGGTGCCATTCTCAGTGTCCATGTTAGTTTTTGGGCGTGTAAGCTTTGAAGGTGTTTAAAATTTGCCAAGCAGCATGCCAAACACTTCGATCCACTGGTTGTGGTTGGGGGTTGCTTTCAGCACTTGCTCCAAAGTAAGATCACTGTTTGGCAACAACTTCGATACCACCTTCGCCAAAGTTAAAGCCCCAATCCCAAAGGTGCGCTGGTCCGATTCTGAACACCTAGTCTTGCTGTAGACCAAAATCCAATGATTCTTCCAATGAATCTGCCTTTCTTGAGATCCTGTATATACCAGGCTCATCCAATGGGTGTCCAATAGACTACCTTACCCTACTTACAGGTCTCCATTGGGCACCCGTTGGAAGTGCTAGGTAGGAAGTGCCTGGGACCCGGAGAGTTCCAATCCGAGCGGCTCGTTGGTTCCAAGTTCTTAAGAGCTCCTTCTGCTTTCGCGCGTCCGGCAGGAAGACACTGATGCCCCTCCTGAACAAACGGACCAAGTCGGGCCGCCTTGGTAGTGAACTTCTTGGCAAAAACAGGTAAAAACCATAGTTCTTCGGTCAAGACCATCAAATGAATGGTCGGAATATGTCTGCATGGTGGAATCCTAGGGTTTTTTTCGTGCCGCCCCTCTGTTCAAGCATCCATGCAACCCAATGGTCCATCCTCTCTTTTGGCCAAGTCTCCCCACGCTGCGGCCTTCCCAGTAGTCCGCGCCAGCAGGGTCCAATGGATTGGCGAGCAGCCCGTCTTCGGCGGACGTGTGCGCGCTCGAAGCGCGAGCTCGGCCGGAATGGGAAGCTCGTTGAAGGAGGCGACGGCAAAGAGTCAGGAGATACGCCAAGAGAGCCAAGGAGCATCTCAACGCCAGTAAAACCTGGCCAAAACCGCAACTGCTGCCGCTACCGCTGCCCTGTGTTTCTGACTGTTGCAAAGAAGTCTTGACCTTTGCATGGAGTCAAGGAGTTTGGGAATCGGACATCACAAAAAAGTTGGTTTGTTGCCACTTATATATAGTATCGACTATCGATGCTAAGATACAGGGGTACAGGACCCTGCTCGGGATTTTATAGATATCAAATGCCCCCGATTTTTGTATGGGCATATCTTTGCCGGTATCCTGTAGTTTGAAGGTGCCCAGACTGTGGTGCCCACACCCGGAGCATAGTGTGGGTTCACTTCACTCGTGTCGTTCGCTTCTGACTTCTCGAGCCGTTGAAGCTGAAACCGCTTAAAAAACCGCACGGTCCACCTGCAAGTTGCGCAGGGATTCCACGGGGGGGGTCGGTAGGGATGAACCACTCGGCCCAAAAGGTTCTATAAAGGTGAGTCCACCTAGCCTCTAAAATGGGTCTGACCAAGCTGAGGGATGCGTATCAAATGGGGACAGCATCGTGACTACAACCATTCACAAACCGTTTTGACTGAGGGATGCTGTGAAACTCGAAGGAAGCTTCACAGGTTTCCATGTGAAACTGGGTGGAAGCTTCACCCAAAGTCTCCAAAGGTCACCAAAGGGAGGTGACCTAAGAACCTGGAGTTCCATGTTGGGGTGCGTCCATTGCAGGGCCGTCCCTGCCCCGCACAATGCAAGCGCCCTGCGGGGGGGCATGACATCCACCCACCCCTGCGGTCATTGGCTCGGCTCCTTTTGGGATCCATCAAATACCCAGGTGAATCCAAGCGACCAAATCAACACCGGATTCTCATTCATCCCGCTTGGGGACCCGAACAACGCTCGGCTCCAAAACAGAGGCGAGCGTCTGATGAATGTCCGATCCTTCACTGGTTTGGAATTGCTTGACCATGAAGAGCAATGAACAGAAGAGACATGAAGAGACTATCTTACGGGAGGTCAACCTACACTGGATGAGGGGCCCAGGTTTGGACCATTTCTTCATCTCTTCCTTTCTCACGGCTTTAGGGCTTTCGCGAACGCCGAGGCGCGCCGATGAGGGTCCAGACTTCGGAGGAGGGCGTCGGCTTGGTACACCTCCGCGGAGGGTGATCGGTGGACCATCCGCTCGTCGTGTGTTCGGGACGAGGTCAGGGACGAGGTCAGGGGTCGTGTCTGTAACACTGCCGACACGTCACCCACCGGGGTCCCTGACCCACCCTGACCCACCGGAGTCCGTGACCCACGTTCACCCACTGTTCGTCCGGGTGACCCGGAGGCCGCCCCACGAAGCGCGACGAGAACGCCACGAACGCGGAGCCGAAGCGACGAGCTCTTCGGGTGGTCCGGACCTGTCCGTGCCTTCAACCTGTTCCCCCTTTCGTTCGGGGGGCACGACCACCACCGCCCACCATCCGGTCCTGGGAGACCCACCGCAGGGTCCGCCGCGTCTGGCAGCCCCTTGCGTTGGTCCACCAGGATCCGGGGGGCCTGGAGGGTTCGTCTCACCCCTTTGGGTTGGAAGTTTACCATGGAGCATGGCCACGAGTCTGGAAGACCAACCATTCCCACTACTGGTGGTGAACTCCACGTAACCATGTGAATTCCAGGGCTAGTATATACTTTCAACCATGAAGAAGACAGTTGAAGAACTGCTTCATTCGTCAAACAGCACACTCCATCCAATGCTGCAGCTGTAGCGAAAGGAGTCCAAAAGAAGCTCCATCCCACGACAAACAGGTGGCGTCTCGCTGGTCGAATGGGTCCCGACGCCCCGCCCCCCACCACACAGCGTGCGGTCTCGTGCTTGCCGTCCAACGCGTCTCGTCCGACCGGGCGGCCCGAAGTCCAAGCCATCCGTGAAGCATTGCACCCCTTGCTTCGTGCTCAAGCTCGGCACCAGCACCAGCGCGCACGCTAGACCGCAGGCCAGCGCGCAAGCTGGACGGCAGCACACCTGGCGGTGGCGGGGGTGAGGGGGTGTTGGAGCAAAAACCAGTTGGTGAGAGGATGTGAAATCGCTGTGCGGGGAGAGATTTATCCTGCCTTTGAGACACGCATGAGTCTCATATAATGTTTTCTTGAAAAGTGAGGATCCTTCGAAAGCGGCGGCAGGTGAGGATGAAACGGCCTGGTCGTCGCGAAGGGTTTCAAGGTCAAAACGCCTCGCGTGGAGGGCGGCCCTTTCAGAAGCTGTGAGCGAATTTCTTTGCAGTGCCCGGTGGTGGAGGGAGTTCACCTGCAACACGTCAGGGCTTCTCAGTAGCGAACAAAATTGGAGCTCCAACCATCCATGAGATGTCAGAAACCTGGAAGTGGGGTCAAAGATGGTCTACTTCAGGATTCACGCGCATGCTGCTCCAGGTAGAAAAAGAATGACGCTGTGTTCATCAAACAAGTGTAACAAGAGTCAGGCAGGAGGGTGCCACGTCATATTGTACAATATAGACAGACAATAGACCTGTTGTGAGAAAACCAATCGTCGCAGAACAAAAGTCATGGACAACCTGCAGTCCTTTTGGTTTCGTCATGGCTGGTCAACTATGGGCTGAACCTAGGCATCGGTCGTTGGTTCATTCGGTCGTAGAAACTCTCTCCTGTTCACCGACCTGACATGTACGGCTACATGCCAGGAGCCCCTAGTAGCTTCTTTGCTCCTAGTAGCGATGCCAGGAGCCCCTAGTAGCGTCCTTGCTCCTAGTAGTAAGGCCAGGAGCCCTTAGTAGCTTTTTTGCTCCTAGTAGCGATGCCAGGAGCCCCTAGTAGCTTCCTTGCTCCTAGTAGTAAGGCCAGGAGCCCCTAGTAGCCTCTTTGCTCCTAGTAGCGATGTCAGGAGCCCCTAGAGTGTGCGGCGGTTTTGTTGGCCGCATCAGGCGGCGTTTTCGGAGACCGAACTTCATGCGACGTCGCATCGAAGGAACAGGTTCTTGCAGGGCGGGGGCGTATTCATGGGTTGCAGGTCGCAAGCGATAGAACAGTTTCTTTTGGAAGAACTCGGTGTTCCATCAAAGAGAATGGGTGTTCCATAAGAGTGTTCCATCTATAGTTATGTTGTTATGCCTGCCATGCCTTTGGCGGTGCGTTCCTCAGATGGAGATGTGCATAGCCTCTGCACCCATAAGTTTGAATATGGAAGATGACAAAATTAAACAAAATTTTCCTGAGACAATGAGTCGTGAACAAGGCTCTACCCCCAGACCCCCAGAGTTAAACAAGAACCCTTCGCTACGCATTCGGGAAAAAAAATCCAATATGTTCACAGAGGCTTCAGGTAGCGCCAAGTCAATTCCCCTCGCCACCCCGTCGCCACCCCGTCGCCCGGAGCTCGCGCACAGCGAAAAAAGATCGACTGATCGATATTGGATCAGGCCAGTACCAGGACCCTCCAAGGGGTCCCCAATGGAAGCCTATAGGTAGTGTGGGGTAGTCCATTGGACACCCCGACAGGAGGGTCCTGGTAGACTCCGAACATCCGCGATGTTCGGAACCAAACAGCATACTGGCGACTTCCTGTCGGGGTCACCTGGCTGGACTGCCCACAACTTAATATGTCTCCTGGCTGGACACCGGAAGCGATAGGTACCTGGACCCGACGTCTCGGTCGCCTCCAAAAGGGGACATGACCCGAGCCATAAGCAGAGGAACGAGTTTGAGCAGGAACTCCAGGTATACCTGGATCTCCTAACTAAGCCAATGTTCTGCCGAACTGGGCTGCTTTTTTCAGATGAAAAGGCGGTCTCAGTTGGAAGATCCAGGTATATATACTGTATATATATATATATTAAAGCCTAGACTAGACAACCCCAGTCCAGGACCCACTGTCGGGGTGGTTGGACAGCTCCATCCAAACCTCCCTTTTGGAATCCGGGGGCTATCAATCGAAACCGTTTTAGATAAGAAAAAGTAGACCGTTTTAGATACGAAACCTCGTTTTTATCAATCGAAACCGTTGGTTTTTTGTTGGTGAAGGGTTTTGATGGGATGGGACCCCTGGGACTCCACCGGTTCGCCCATCGGGGTGAGACGAGTCGGGTTGGGGCGACGAGTCCATCGATGACCAGCCGCGGCTGTGGATCAAACCCGGGAGGACCCCTGGTTTTGGCCAAACGTGAGCTGAATGGCCTCGGCTCGGAGTAGGGTGAAGTGGGCTCGACCCGGACCCAGAAATGGACGAGTTCGGTGACCCAAGTCTGGGGACTTTCCTTGACGTGGTTGCCATGTTTCTAGCGGAACTGGAATTCTCTACTAGGACCGTCAGCACTTCCCATGAATGTCCAATGGAGATCGATAAGTGGGCTGGATGATCCAGCCAGGTGACCCAACCAAGCGCAGCTGCTCGACATTTACAATCCAAGGGCCCCCCCCCGGCCCTTCAGGGGCGTCTATTTTAGGGCGCCCCGCAGAGAAAGAGGTTTAAGACTTCCGGAGTTCTCCATCGTCTCCATGAACCACCCCGACCGGATCGACCGGATCCACGTGGTGCATTCTCCTCACCGAGTCTCACCGACCGCCGCGCCTGGACTCGGTCGCTCGCCATGGGAAGGACCGCCCCATCCGTTCGCCACCACCGAGCCGAACGGACCGCGTCGCGGAACGGGTGTTCGGTGGCTCCGCCGCGTGTGGGACGGGCGTCTGAAGGTTAGCTGTTGTCGAGATGAGCTGTGAAGGTCGAGACAAGAGGTGTGGCATCACACCTCCAAGAACCTCGGTGTTTGTTTTGCCGCATCTGATGTCACCTAGAAAGAAAGAACGTTGACACACTAGAACAAAGCACAACAGTCCGAACCGCTCTGCCATACTTCTCATTGTCGACACCTGTGGTTTCAGACTGATGATCAGGAGATTAACAATGAAAAGTGCCTCACTCCTCCATCGACTTTCATTTGTGACTCCAACAACTAATCGTGTCCAAAACGTGTTTCAAGAAGATTGGACATCGACCTATGCGATCTATGGCGATCCTATGGATGTCACCTGGATGTCACCTGAGCTTCTCTTACTTGGGCCGTCTCTTGGGATTCGCTTCTCCTTGAACTCCAGCACTGGCGCGGCACCCGCATGCGAGAAACATGTGGATCTGGGTGTTTTTGGTTTGTTTTTGGAAGGATCTGGGTCAGAAGGGCGACCAGGGTGACCAGGGTGACCGCAACACAGGTTGAACCACCAAGGAGTTGGCACGGACCGTTCGGTGAAAATTCTATCACGCGGACCGACCCGGACCGTTTCTGGCCTAACACGGACTGATCCCTATAAACGTTTGAGGTCACTTGGCCTGGTTTCGGTCATGGAACTCCATTTGGAAGTCACGGTTCGGTAGAGGTCCTGCGCCCTGGGCGGAGCACCAAAGGTCCAGAAGTCAGCGTCGCCGAACTCGAGTTGAAGACCATATATGGTTTAAATGGCCTTCAACTCTCAGGGCAAATCAAAAAAAGGAGTATTTCAAGTCAGGGCTCTTTCCCGACTAGGAGGGCCGAAAAAAAGGACAGCAGGCCAACGGCGACTTCTTCATGCAAAGGAAGCCTGAGGGGAGGCCCAACCGAGCCCGAGCCCCTCAAGCATCCAAAAAGAACGTTCACCTTCCCTTCTCAGGTTTTCGGCCCAATTGGTCCAACCGCACTTCGCACTTCGACCGGAAGAAGCAGGTGGGAAGCCCGACGCACGCCGGCTCGGACGGACTCGGAGCGCTAGACTGCCAGGCGAACCGAACCGGAGACCGAACCGGACCGGACCCCCCAAGGTTCGGTTCGGACATGGAAGGACTAGTCTACTCATTGGTTGGAGGTCTCCAACACTGGAAGACACACACCTCTAACTGAACCCGTGTGACTCAGTCGAGCTTGTTCTTCCCATGCGCTGCCTGCCCAAGCAAGCACATGCGAGAGGTCCTGCGAGCGCCAGTGACTGGCGCTATCACAAGAGAACGCTCCAGCAAATCAGAACCAGCTGGTGCCTCTTAGAACTGTTGGTATCGCAAAAAGTTTACTCTTCCCAACAACAGAGGAAAGGAATCAATCGTCTGTGCCTGGCAGGTGCTTGGATTGTTTGGAAGAACGTACATCCGTCCATGGATTGCAAGCTATCTATAATCTCCCTCAACTGTAAGAACATCCTGCCGTTTCTGCGAAAGTTTGTGTCCTTTCGACTTCTTTCAGTCTAGGAATTCGATGAAGCTGGCTCAACACAACTCGGGTCACCCAGACAGTCAAGCGCAGCTCCTGTAGAACGGGTGAAGTATCAAAAAAAGTTATTTACCGCATCAAAAAAATACTATTCGAGGGGGTCAATCAAAAAGTAATTACTTAATCAAAAAAACTATTCTGCCACGAGCTCTCTGGGATAGAGCGGGCTTCTTATTAGTACCTAGCTAATTACAGCAATTGCGTGTCCTTTGCAGAGACACAGGTGTCGTAGCTGGCCCAATACATTAGAATAGTGCAGGTTTCATATTAGTTGCTAGTTGATTAGACTAATTCGGGAGCTGTCGTAGCTGGCAAAATACATTGGAATAGTGTAGGTGTGAGAGAAATTCCTACCTATCACAATAGTTTGGTGCAGTTAGCAGAGAAACAGCAAAGAGAAAGAGAACTAGCACAGGAGGCGTATTTGGTTGGTTAGAAGTTTTGCACCGGGGAGTTCACCTTAAAATATTGATTTCGTGGCAGGCGCGGGTGTCGGAGATGAAGTGCAGATTTGGTGGCGCGGGGGGGGGGGGGGGGGGCGCAGCCCCCCCACCAGCAGCACACCAGATCCAAAGGTGAGCAGCTCGTGCTTGCTTGCTTGCTTGCTTGCTTTCTTGTTTGGTTTCTTCTCTGCAAAGCGGTTTCTTCTCTGCAAAGCAAACAAATGGAAAAAACAAAAAGAGAAAGGAGAACAGCTGCCAAAGCAGAAAAGCAACAAAAGCAAAGAGCAGAAAGACAAAAACACAAAAAGCAGAAAAGCAACAAAAGCAACAAAAGCAGCAAAAGCAGCAGAAGCAGAAAAGCAACAAAAGCAAAAAAACAAAACGCAGAAGCAGAAAAGCAACAAAAGCAAAAAACATCAAAATCAGAATCAAACAAAAACAAAAACAATCCCGAAAAATATTAACAACGCACCTCCATTAACCTTTTGTTTATTGTTGTTTAATTCTATTCTTCATTTTCCTTGTGGTCCTTCCTTTGTTACGTTGTTTCTTCGGCTGCCTTGCTTCCATCCTTCCTGCCTTCCTCACTTCCTACCTTGATCCCTTCTTTCCTTCCTTCCCTTCCCTTCGACCAGGGGACCAGGGACCAAGGGGACCAGGGGACCAAGGGGACCAGGGGACCAAGGGGACCAGGACGACCATGTGGACCAGGAGCAAGCATACAAGAGACGGGAAAGGAAAATACCTATTTTCTGATTAGTTAATTAATTTGTTTTTGATTACGTAATTAATGTTTTTTTGATTCAGTAATTTCCTTTTTGATACACATGCCCTGTAGAACTGCATGACAAAATCAACAGGCAGCCCGAGAGCCAGGCTGGCAAACAAACAGGTCTTTTCTTAGTACGTCAAGGTCCTTTATGTCAGGTCATCTTGAACAAGGATGTCCTTGGGGGAATATATAATTGAGGTACCATATACACAATGATTATCCCCTCCATTAATCAAGCAACCAATAGTAAAAGGCAATCTATAAGTTGCATGTGTCAGGTTATCTTGAACAAGAATGTCCTTTTGGGAATAAAAGGTCAGTTTGGTACCAATATATATACCCGATGGTGATACACGTTGTGGTCTCCCCCTCTAAGAAAACCAAGCAACCAATTGGAAAAGGCTTGTCTCATCATGAGAATGACATGAATGCGTGTCTCGTCATGCTCATCCAGTTCTGGCCCCGTCTAACACGAAAGCGAGGGGCCTCAATGCGGAGGAGCAGCTGGCAAAGAGAGGCCAACTGGCTGCCTCGGGCGGATCGAGCGGATCATCCAACGCATGTCATGTCTGAGATAGGTTGACTCTGAGGTAGGAACTGAGACACTCGAGATCTCGCAACCGTCTCTGGCCCCTCCCCTCCCTCCGCTGTTTTGTTGCTCCCGCCTTCTTCCGCAGCGAAGAGGTCCAACAGCAGCAGATTGGGGCCATCCACCTCTGCGTTCGCCTGACTGATTCGACCGTCGACCGCCGAATCAGTCAGAGGACGGCTTAAACCTCCGTCGCACGAAGAAGGCTTGCTTCACTAGAGCCTGGCACGCATCACTGGACGCCCCAGTGTCCGAATCGAGATCGCTACGAGTCCGTCCCCCCCGAAAACGGGCGGGAAGTGCTCCGGATTTGCCAGGTTGAATCACCTCGGCGCCGATGGCGCCCAAACGCACCGTGAACGTGAACGGAGTGGCCATCCCGAGCCGGGAAGCGCTACTGAAGCGCCAAAAACGACATGTCATCCGAGTCGTTCCAGCTCGTGAAACGCTCTTTGCTGGCTGTTGGCCTAAGTCAGACGGCCACTGGGTGCTGGCAGGTTACAGGAGCTGACAAATCTGATGAGCCTAAACTTATAAACTACATGTTGTGCGACCCTCCCCATGAACACTGGAAGGACCCCGAAAAAACAAAACAATGTTACCTGAATCCAAGATACCTCTCTAGTGGGCCGTTTGGAAAAACACCAAAAAGCCAGAACACCATGTCAACCAGTCAGATTGACCTTACCCTTTGGTCAGCTTGTATTTTAATCCATCATCCATCTATGAAAATACTTTGTCCATGCCCAGACGTCCATCCATATCCATCTTGAAGCCCTCGTACCTGTCCCCCATCCCACCCAAGCAATCGCTTCCAAAACATCTCATATGGAGATCTCATCCAGGTTCGGAGGTGGGTGCGTCGAGTGGCCATCCAGGTGTCAAACAACTCCCCAAAAGAACTTCACGCCTCGAGCCTCCCCTTTCTTCCACCGCGCCAGGTCACCCCCCGCGGTGGCGGCCTCGTCACGGGGCGGCTCGCCCGCTGCAACACGTGGAGCCTCGTCACACTCCATCGCCTGCCGCAGCGCTGCGCTCGGCCGTTGGAATCGAAACGGAAGAGTCCCCTGTGAAGCCTTTCGATTCACGGCAGAGTCTGCATCCCTAAGATGGAAGAATAAGACCTGCCAGCAGGAAGAGCAACAAGAACAGCAGCGAACAAGACAAAGAGAACAACACAAATCCTCCCAGAGGAATACAACATGGGGGACAGCACTTTAGATGTCAATGACGATGAAAAAAAGACCGCTTCACAAAGTCACCACTCAACGAGCTCAACTTTTTTGTGGTGCCGCAGCTGTGCTGGAGATCACTTCCTGAACTTGGATTTGTTGTTGCTGTTAACAAAGCAGGAACACATGCAAACCATGCAAACCATGCCAAGAAAGTCACAAAGGTCACCCAGGTGTTCAAGCACCCTTTCTCCGCCTTTCTCCACCCAATCGGTGAAAGCACCAGGGCGAACACCCGGTTCGCGGCCTCCGACTGCAGCAAGGCCTCCTGGAGCTGGGCATCTTCATCCACTGCCATGGCTGCATCCTGATGGGCATGGGCGGAGAGCCGGCGGAGAGCCTGGGATGAGGTGGTGGGCATTCCAATGTATTCTCATGTCCAGTTAGCTTATGGCATGTTCGAGAATAAGTATTATGTAAAACAAAAAACACACGACATGAAAACAAGGTGCAAGAAAGTCCTCAGGGATACATTCTCAGCTCCTATTCGAGGCCCTCTTTTCGAGGCATCCGAGCTGCAAGTGAGGGCGCGATCTACATCCATTCTCCGTCTATCCCGGCCAAGCAGACTAAGTCCCTCCTGTGCGATTCTGTGCAAGTTCGTCCCTACTATGGTCGGCTTCCAGTGATGACTTGCACTTGCATGAGCACACTCTTTTTGCTGCACTAGGGCTTTCAAGATGAGATGCACTTGCACGAGCAAACCTTTTTTGCTGTAGTAGGCTTTTTCAAAATGAGATCTTTCAAATTCTTTCAACATGTTCAACTACAAGGATCTGGTTGCTACTCCAAACCCCCATCCTTTGCTGCGTTCTTCCTTTGCTGCTGTCTCTTGGTCTGTTTTCTGGAGTCCTTTTCTCTTGTGGAGAACGGGCTGTGGGTGTCGATTGGCCGAAAGGTCGTTTCCATGGACCCAAAGTGATCAGCCGAAGTCTTGTAAAACATCGCCAGTCTCCAGGAACCCAGTCGGACACACGCCGTGAGTTGAGAAACGCAGACGCATACCGGTTAACACATGTTTGGAGATATATGAGAATGGAGGATTGTGTATATTTATATATATAGTCCTTCCTTCGGGTCCTTTTGCAGGTGCTTGTGCGTTTCTGCTCTCCTCAGGCGTTTCTACTGCTGCCACCGCTCCCACCGTCGGGTCCGTTTCCGCCTCCGCTTCGACCGCTGCGAAGATCGCCGAGGTGTTCCCTGACGGTCGGGAGCGGATGGCCCAAAGGAACCGGGAAGAGGTGGCTGGGGAGTCGAGCTTGCCCAGGAGCTTGGAACAGAGCCCAAGGTCATCCCAACAAGCAACAACCAGGTGATGAAAGATCAACTGAGAGAGAGAGTCCAGTGACAACTTGTGCCCCCACATCTCTCAGCAGACCACCCTCGGTATCTCAATAACAGTGTCCCTTCGATCCAGCTCTTTTAGTTCCGCTTCCAGCGCTTCCTTACCCAGTCAAAACATCAGAAGCGACGGAACACTTCATGTGTCCCTTTGTCAGTTTGTTTGGGGGGGACCATGTCCAACTAAGCAAAGGAAAATAAGACAGTTATCCCTCCAAAACAAATGATAGATATATTTGGAACGTTGAAAAAGACACTTGCCCACCTGCCATATCATTCTTGAGGCGTGGCATGTTCTTACTATTTAAAAATCGTCCAAATGACGATGACCCTGTGGTGTTTCAGATAATCGATCTATATATATATATATATATAGTAACTCCACATGTATTGAATGTATTGGTCAACTTTTGAACTTAGCAGAACTGGGAGTCGAGTCGGGGTAACCCACATGTCTGCACACTCCGTGCATCAACCCGACTGGTGCACGGTGTTTCACCGGTGCATCTCTTCTTCAGGTGGTCTCAAGGAACCAACGAGATACCTGATGAAGGAGGTGCCCCGGACGCCTCCCTTTGCGAACGTCGAACGTGTCGAACCTGCGGTTGGGTCACCGCACGGGAGGCTCACTATGAGGTGCATCCATCCTAGACACCAAGTAGTTAGTTGAGAGTATTTCATCACAGTCCCATAGGGTCCAGCTACCTCCTGAGGATGGTCTTGAGGGGTCAAAGGACATCCTCAGGATGGTCCTGGACCCTTAGGGAGTGGTAGTTGCTCTGCCTTTTCATCCCAAACCTCTCGTCCAAACACTCTTCATCACCTCTAGTCTAGAGGGTCACACGGCTGAAACAAGCAGCGGATGAACCCGAGGTCCACGTTCTTCAGGACTGGCTGGATGGCAGAGGATGAACCCGTCTCAGTTCGTCTTCGTTGGGTCAGTGCCCAATCCGCATCATTCATGGACGAATTGGAGGAATTCACATCGGATCGCTGAACTAGGTGCTCCTGGCCGTACTGCGAACGGGGCAAAGGACGCTACGAACGGGGCTCCTGGCATCGCGAATCGCTAAGAACGGAGCGATCGGACGCTCACCGGTCCTCACCTTCGTCGAAGAGCCACTCCGCCGCGCGGGCAGAGGAGCCGCCACTTTCCTGCAGCGCCAGGCGGCAGGCTGCCAAGGGGAAGCCCAACTCGGCCAGTTGGAGCACCTCCGCCTCCTGGCTGGAGATGGGAATGACACCAGAAAGCCAAAAGATTCAACACGTGGTGTGTTCATGTGTTTGTGTGTGTGTGTTTTGATATGTTTTGCCATGTGACGTGAGGTAGGGAGCCCAAAACCATATAGTTTCACGCTGAAACCAAGACTGTAGGCCTAGATCTATATAGATCTTCCAACTATGTATAGAATGTTGGTTTTACGGATGAACCGGCAGACATGATACATTGTTGGAGTTATCAGGGGATCCACTTGAAAGGGTGAGCAAAAAGGCCTTCAAAGATCTTCCAGCAATCTTGGCGCGAAAGGACGCTGCGGCTTCGCACGCTTCGCGCGCTGTGTCGATCGCGCTTTTCTGCCATCGCTTTCTGCCCCTCGTTGACCTGTTTAGGCTGCGTCTGGTGTTTCATGAACTTCTTCGCAGCCATCTTCTTTTCCCAGCAACTCGAGCTGCATGGGTTCGCTCCGCTCCGCCCTTTGATCCCCGTGGAACACGAGCCGTGTCAGGCCCTCGGACATGTACACCCTTTGGTTCGAGCCCCGACCATGGGATTCCTTCGAAACACCCAGCGGTTTTGCCGAAAAATCTGTGGTGATTGATGAATTTTTAGATGAAGAAAAACCAGTTGACCCACAATGACCCACAACCCGAAACAAAGTACTTTATAGACTCTGAGGTACTTTCAAGTTGCCTCCAGGTACACTACAAACCCTTCCCTCCCAACGAAACCAGACGTTGATGGCCCGGTTTGCCGTAGTTTTCCCTCCACTTTCGGTTCGATGCACACTTCACTTTGGCCAACCAGGTCAGGCTCAAAAAAGAATCACCTCTTTAACGCGCTTGACCTCTTCCCCATCATTTCCCGTCTCCATGCGACACCACGGTGCCGACCGCGCCTGCACTGGTGCCGACCGCGCTGCCGAGCCCACAGCCCCGCGCGCCAGTTCTGGCGGCCGGAGCCCGCGCCACTCGCGCTGCTCCGGCGGCAGGGTGGGCGGGGCGAACTTCGCTGTGGCCAGGCGCGTGATGCGAAAGCGCACAGCGGTGCAGGGCGAAGCGCCGCCTGGAGCAGCAATTGGCTTGAGGCCCCTTGAGGATCCCTAAACCAGGTTCACCGGACAAATAAGAGCCGCCACTCGAAGTTCAACACGAAGCAGCCCCATCCGGACAAATCTAGACCGAGGGTTGCAGCAAAACCCCCGAGGTTTGCCCCCCATGTGCTGGGACTGCGACCTCGGCTCCGAATCCAAGGGCTGAGGCCCCTAAACCAAGGTTGCCCCTCTGAAACCTAGGTTGAGCCCCGCGGGCGCTCGACTCTGAGACACTTCACAGGGCTCAATACATTCAACTGTCTTGTGCTTGAACGTATTGGTGGCTTGAGGCTTTCTAAGAATGTGGACCTGGCCCCGAAGCCGAAAACCTCAAGAGAAGACGGCTTTTAAGGTAAAGTTGTCTACAGAAGACCGTTTTAAAGGCAAAACGATCTACAATGGCTGCTTTAAACGCAAAGTCTACAAAAGACCGCTCTAAGGCAAAACGGTTGACGTTGAAGCGTGCGGGTTGCGCTCGCAATCTTCAGAGCTCTTAAGCGTCGCGTACAACATCGCTCTCTTTCAGTTTTAGGGTTTTGGATGGTTTTGAGTCTGGAGACTGACGCAGGACAGTGAGGAGAGAGCATGGAGCAATGAGGTTTAACAGGGCACGAAAAGAAAACAAAACGGTTCGACAGGGGTTGTTCCCAAGCCAAAGTTTTCTCTGTTCTTTTGCGTCTTGTGTGGAGAGTCGATCTCGCGCAGCTTTGAAGACCCCAAGACCATCTCAAATAGCTGGGCCTTGAAGCTCGATTTGCAGCTTCTTGGAGAAGTAGGTGGACTGATCCTCGGCTCGGCGGAGGAGCAGTCGCAAAGGTGTCACGACGCTGGGATGGTGGGATGAATGAAAAGAGTGACACGCGTGGCACATGGAAGAATTCCACACCTTGCAAAAAGAACCAACGATCGTGGTTGGAATGTTCCGTCTTTTACTTCAGTGACCTATCATGTTGTGTGATAGGTTGGGCCCTTCTCCCAACAGCCGCGTCCCTCGCGTGTCAAGTCGAAGGAGACATGCTCCACGCTCCGCGGAGCTGCTGGGACTCTGTCGACGATGGCTCACACGTTTGAGGGGCTCCAAAGTGGAATCCGTTGCTCCTCACGGCGTTTAAGGGTGGGACCATCGACAGCGCTGTCGCGACAGCTGTCGCTTGCAGTAACTGCAAGCCCGCAGTCAGACACATCGGCCCCGCTTCTGCCCGCTTCGGCCCCCTGCCCCATGGTTCACCTGCTCTGGTTTGGCCGCCCCTTTCTCTTATAGCATCTTATAGCCCGCCTATGCCCCCAACTGATTTCATGGAAAAGCAGCAGAAAAAGCAGCGCAAAAGCAGCGGAATCCATCGAACACCCGAAAAGGAAGGCCCTGCCGTCTGCTTCGCCGAGGCACATCGCTGGGCTCCCCACGGAGCAGGCCATCCTAGCGCGGACCCGTCCGTGCCGAGGCTCAAGCGATGGGACAGGAAGATGACCTACACCCTAGGCGTTCAACCACCATTGAGTTACATACAGTCATGGTTTTGGACAACCATGATGGATGGGACAGGATGTTCGACTACAAAAAGGAAGGCCAACCCCATTGTGCCACGGTCCATTCACCAAACCTGTCAGATGCAGGTCCGTGCCCAGCCAAACCGTATCGGCCGGGCTTCGAAGGTTGGGCTCCACGAGACTCTGCTCACCGCTTTGGAACTGATGCGATTCCTCTGCTCCCTGTTACTGGTCAATAGCCAGCGAAACACCTCGCATCTACATGTCCACATCAGGAGCTGTGGATTTCCTGGAAAGAGAGCACAACCGTATTTGTGGTGCTCCAACCGTGCACAACCCATGAATCCTGCTATCCCCCAAGCATGTCCAACACATGGGACAAGAGAACAAGACCTTCCAAACCGAACCGCGCCGCCGCAACCGAACCGCGGCTTCCAAAAGAACACGTCCTCGCAGGCTCAGTTTCATCACGTCTTTGGTTCCCGTCCTCGCCCTCCCAAAAGCTGTAGTTTTCCAGTAGGGCGCTTGGGACCACCCCACGCAGCAAGCGAGGCGAGACATAGTTTTCCCCGAGCTTGTCCAACTCCTAGAGCCGTCACCGGATGGGAGCCCTGAAGCTGCTTCGGCTTCCTTCAGATCATGCCGAGGAACCCTTGCTTTACGGATTTGGCACGACCAGATCAACCGCACCTCTTGATCATGGTCGAACGGAAGGCTAGGGTTTAGAACAAGAGATCACGAAAGGCAAATCTTCCACCTCACCTCTCCTCTCCTTGCACCCCGTTGCAGCGTCAATGAAAACACTTGGAAGAACCCCTTGCTGTATACTAAATGATGCCTGCCAATTGTCAGAGCATCCTGGACGAAGAATATATCAGGACCCGCAAGGTCAATGGACACCCCTTAACCTCTAAGCGGCCATCAATAGAAGCCCCAAACAGGAAATCCTGGTGTGTATTGCAAATGAGTCGCGGGACGATGCAAGCACCATGGGTCACAGGATGTCGCATGTGTGATGTTGTCTGCGGCAGTTGTGCCTTGGGTGGTCGCGCTCGCGTTTAATGACGGGAGTTGGGTGGTTTACGGACACCCCTTGCAGCACAAGTAACCTCTAAAAGGCCAAACAGGGGGCCCCTGGTATAGAATCTAGAATGCTATATTGTTTCACCATGGGCTACCATGGGTGACCTATGGCAGGTCTGACGATGGGTGGAAAATATGACACGGTAAGTCGGCAGCTTCCTCCGCAGTCGCCGCAGTTCTCCGTCCTTGTTGAGCCGCCGGATGCACAAAGACCCTTCCTGCAAGTCAGAGAGTCTGCACCCGACACATAACCGAGAGAGCAGGTAAGTGCTCAGGTGGCATCACCGACCACCACCCGATCCGCAGTGGAGTGAGCAAGTTTTCAGTCCACTAGATATGTAATGAAAGCCTAGTGATGGAGTGATTGGACTGATTGGACTATTCACCCTGAAGAGTTCAGTCTGATAATCCCAGACCCCACCCACAGGTGCATCTCAAAATGAGAACCATTTTTAGGATGTCTGCATGCTGACGGTGGCAATGCTGCTGGAAACTATCTACAGGAACATTTATGTGTCCAATGCTGGAACCGTGTTTTAGGTCTTGACACTTGAACTTCAGCGGCTCTTTGCGGCGCAAAGATCTGTACATGGGATTTGCCGTCCTTCTCGGAAGGACCTGAGGCCGCTCTCTTGCTCTCTGCGTCCCCCCCATTTGGAATGTAAAACGTCTTCAGGTGTTATTACAGTAATCGAGCCTATGCCTATACATGATATATCAGTTGCTTCGCCAAGTCCTTCTACCAGCCGTTTGTCCAAACCCCCTCTACGAAAAAGACCGCACCCAGCAGCTAAAAAAAAAGAAACGGTCACCACGCCCAGCCTCCTGTTTCCTATGCTGGTCGGACCTAGGATGGCCTGAGTCATACTGCAGGTTCCTGTGCCACATGTTGTTGACATTGAGTTCTGGTCTTCCAGTTGCCTGAACCATCTCATGATCCGTCCTGCTCTCCTCCCCATGTCACTCCTTTTCTTCCCTCGATCTCAGTTCGAGCTCGCTTTCCAAGCATCGGACCGCATCCGGCCGCCATCTCTCTGCTTACAACTCGACGGAACCCAACCTGGACGCTGGAACCTCCAAAAACCCCACCATCTGTCGGAAGACGCTTCTTTTCGGAAGACGGTGGATCTGACTCGTCTGACTCCACCCCCCCTGTTTGGAGGGTTCAAGATCCTGTCTGAAGATCCCCCTGTCGTTCAGCGTGAAAAACCAGATCAACGAGTCAACGAGTCAACCGCTTCGAAAATGGGTCTCGACCCCGTGTGGCTGCTCGAAGCAGGGAGAAGCAGGGAGGGGCCCTTTCAAGCTATGACACCGAGACGGAGAGACGGTCTTCCATCGTCCAGGAGGATTCCTCGCGGCACGGCAGGTTGGTGACGACCCAGACGCAACCCTCTGAGAAGACCAAAGAAAGCCCTGCGGAACATGATCTGGAGGTGGAAATGGGAGGGCGATGGGTCTCAAATTCTTGAAAATTCTGAGAGAGCGTCTGGGAGCGTCTGGGATGAATTTTCGGACCCTAGGCTTCCAACCTTTGATTGATATAGCGCTTTTACCAAACAACCATTGATTGAATAAGGATTTTAAACTCCAAAACCAGGTCAACCTTTCTTCTTAAATGTCTTGGAAGGCTAGGGTGATGTCCTTGACCGAAATTTGCGATAAGGAACCAGTGGCCAGTTCGAAGTGGCATGTGAGACATAAGCTTCGAGAGGCCAGGCTTTCGCCTCGGCCTCAGATGATATGATACCTGCGGGTCCTGCGCTGAAGGATCCAGCGACTTTTTTTTTCAACGCGACTCTTTTTTCAACGAAAGAAGTCCCAAGACGGAACAAGACTGTACACATGCGAAGATGGGCCTCTCAAAAACGTGTCGCGCTGATCAACCTGTTTCCTGTCGAAAGTTGGGCGTGGGTTTACCCACTTCCACTACCGCCTGCTTTCGGATTCGGGATGCCCCAACACTCGACAGTGAAAAGAGGACTATCCGACGATACTCCCGAACCAGGAATAACAAAATGCCCGGAAAATAAACATCGCTCTAAGCAAAACCAGGGAAAACTCGCGTGGACCCGGGTTGGTTTTGGAACCTGGAAGTAGACTGTTTTCCTCTAGCTGCAACCCGTAGTTTTCAGAGTCCATGTTAGTCTGGAGTCCGAAAACTACCCTCTATAAGACATGAGGACTCAGGGCGCCGATCGATCTGGTTTGGTCAGACGCCAAAAGTGGACGGAATCCAAAAAGGGGCTACCATGGTAGGGGACAATTGCCGGTACCTTCTCTAACGCAGGGAATCCATTCTGCATCTGGCGACGAGCAAGTATGCTAATCGGCCTCCTTTTCGCAAGATATGAGACACAGCATATCAATGCATATCAGATATATCAATTCCATTGCAGCATATCACAGGCTGTATCAGGAGGCCGCGTCGTCAAGGCAACAGTCAAGGCAACAGCCTGCGGACACCAAGTCCTCGCATGGAGTTCCACGCATTCTCGAACAGATCCAGTGTCCGAGGTCACAGGTGGCAGCATCCCGTTGAAAGCATGCAAACATCCAAGGAGTTTGGGCGCGGAAGGGGATTGGTAAGCTGTAGGACAAAGCCTCTGGCGTTAGGCAGGAGAGGAGTGGGAGTCATGGCTGTACTGTGCTTGGGGCGACCTTTTCAACATCATGAGGAGCCCGATAGATTGAACCCCACAAAAAAAGCTCTTGGAGGGAGAAACTGCCTTCGCAGACCGACTGGCACGTCCAAAACGCCTCTTCCGTGGCCCAAAACGACTGGTTCCAGCAGGCACCCAAACTGAAAAAGAAGCAGGATGGACTAGGAGGACTCAAGGTAGACCCTACTACCCAGGCCTAGGGCCTAGGACTACCGCAATTCCCACCGGTCAAAAGATGGGTCGGAAGAGGTCCATTGGAATTCTCGTTTTCCATGTGGAACAAGATCTTCGATCGAGCAGGGCGGAGCTCTTCCTCTTTTTCGTCCAGAAAAATGGATCGGTCGAAGCAACGCTCCTCCAACGCACCATGGATGGGGGAGTCGAACCGTGCTCTCGTTTTGAGGGACGTTTCGGGGCTGTGAGAGCATCTGGGATGGGTTCAAGCTGGCTTGGTCATCTAGACAGAGTGGCAATAGTGCAAGTGATAGCTCGTAGGTCTCATAATTTTGACTCTCACTTGCCACATCACCTTTTTTTTCAAAGGGATTCTGCAACCCAGATCGCCCCCACCCCTCATGGTCTTGCTTGTCTCTGCAGTACCGCAGAATCGCGGCGATCGCGGGTGGACACCAAATCGTGCGTTGCTTTGGCCTCTGGGTCATTTGACTCTGGGTCAACCTCAGAACCTGCCTATTCCCTGGTGAATGACTAGTAGATTCTTGTTACTAGTAGTAATGGCCTCCAACCTACTAGCGATGGCCTCCAACCTAATAGCGATGGCCTCCAACCTAATAGGGATGCCCTCCAACCTAATAGCGATGGCCTCCAACCTAGTTCTCGTGCTTTGCGGCTTCACTTGAAATGCAAAACAGTTCATTCTGTCTCGGTCCATCTCATGTTATGACCCGCATCGTTGCAAGCAAGGCCAATGAGGCATCGTAGGGTTCTCCGAAAACCTGACACATCTGTTTTGCGGCTTCGACCGGTCGTGGAAATCATGTCCATCTGCGAAAGAAAGCTCTACAAACAGTGGAGATTGTCGGGGTGCTTGTGAGTCCCATCCTTGTTTGACACCGATACCGGCTGATGTTGTCGGGCTTTTAACAGTAGTTGTGGAAGCTCGGAAGCGTTGCCATGTCGGCCTTTTCCTTCAAGGTAGGAGATTCTGGTTTTTAAAGATGCCTGGCAGGCATCGACATTGGATTTAGGGTCAGAATGGGCCAGACTTCATCACCTCTCCTAAAACCACAATATCCAGAAAGGGGGTGTTCATGGGGTCTAGAAACACCTCCTGAAATTGCAGCTCAACTCACTTCAAATTTCCAAATGTATGAGTGCAGAGGGAATCCCTTCATAAAGCATACTCATCTGATATGTGCAGTATGCAGCATACAGTATGCACATCAGACCTTCCAGGGATGTCTTCCGAATGAATCCGCATGACTCCTTTTCAAATGCCCCTGGTGGTCGAGAACTGGTGACCAAAACCTTTGGATCCTCCAATTCCTTCGGATCCCCCGATTGATTCGGGGGCATTTCGAGCGGAATTCCAAGAACGTCGGTTGCCGCCCTGCACCGTATCAGCTCGGCTCAGTGCCGGCGCTCATTGAACCAAGAGGGTCGCCGAGCTGCTCTGCGCAGGCTTGACCTGAGTTCGGAGCTGGCGCAGGCGCCCAAGGGCAACGGTCCGAGAATGCTTTCGTTTCGGCATGCGGAACCGACTCGTTGATGGAGGCGAATTGAGGGTCCAATCCGTACCCAAAGGCGACCATGGACTTCGGTTCAAACTGCTATGTGGCTGCTATGTGCCAAAACATGCCAAAACCTAGTAGAGGGTCCAAAACCCAAAAGCTATGAGGGTCCAATGAGATTTGGAGGATTGTGAGCCGTCCTCGTCATGTGAGGAACCCTCAAAAGGCTGTCCTCAGGCTGTCTTCGTCCGTCCTAGCAAGAACCAAGCAGACGCCCTCGTCGACCGATGCAAAGCGGTGTTTCACAACGTACAGAATTGGAATGAAAGACCAAGTCCTAAGGGTACGGTAACACCCATTACTACAAGGGTATCGCTACTAGTAAAAAGGGCATTACTATTAGTAGTTTCTTGCTACTAGTAGCAAGAAGCTACGAAAGACCAAGTCCTAGGGGGTTCAATCATGACCACCCATTAAATACATTTAAAATACATGTTACATGTCATTCATGTGAAGCTCCAATGCTCGCCAACTGGAGCCACCGGTCCTGGAGCCAACCGGAGAACAGCCGGTTGGCGAAGCTTTTTTTTCGTTCTCCCCTTCGGACCGTGCGAGAACCCAAACGCCTCCCCATCCAAGGCACCATAGCACGAGCCCTCTCCAGCGCGAGCGCTCCAATCGCGAACGCTCGAGCATGCAACTGGTCCATCGAATCCTTCGTCGCCGCAACTGGGCGTGCCTTCCTGGCACGCGGTGGCCTGGTGCACACGGTGGCCCGGTGGCAGTCCACACAGAGCGAGGACTGTGCATGCGTTCAAGATTCTTGGAATGGAGCGCGAGGATTCTTCACAACCACAAGACAAACCGGGACGCCCCACGGATGGTCCTCCTATAAGATGCAAGTGTGCATTGTTGAGTTGTTCGTCAGCAAGTACAAGCAGTTCCACACAAGTAATTTAGATTCACTCGCCATGTCCAGTTTGCAAGTATGTTTTTGCAATTAATGTCAGTTAATTTCTATTGGCAAGCCCTAGTAAGACTTATTTTAATATAGACTTATAAGATGTCGATCTTCTGGCAGACACTTGAATCATGACAAACACCATCTGGTGACCAGTTTTCCAGAGCCGCCACCGCCACCGCTCCCGGCGCCGCGTGACGCGCCCGGCGCCGCGTGTCGTACCTCCCACGAGCGCCGACCGTGCTCGGGGTGCTCGGGGTGCTGCCGCCTGACTTCGCCTTCCCGACCTCCTCTGTTCGACACGTCGAGGCGTGGACGCGTGGACGGGGAGGTTCTGGCGTCGGTTCTTTGTCCAAAGCGAACGGTGACCTGAGAGAACCAGGTGGAGAAGGCAGGTTCTTCGGTGGCCGAAACGATCGGTTCAGTGAACCAAGCGAACCAAGTGTGCAGAAATTCTGTAGCTCCGGTTCTGTCCCCAAGCCTGTCCCAGCACTCCGGGCGCACCGAGGAACAAGGAAGTCTTCGTGACCTAATTTAGACTCTTGATTTGTAAAACTCACAAATTTAGACTCTTGAATTAGGTTTTTTTATCAAGACGCTTTACAATCCAAATTCAAACGGGGGGGGTTCTATATAAATGAATCAAAAGTCTGCAGTGCCATCCACTTAGGTCCCCACAGTCGTCTTCCTGCCGTGTCAGGGAACCAATTCCTATCCCGTAACTCCTCCTCGAGAATGCTTGCAATCAGCGCATCATCATTGGAACCACTGCTCACCCTGGAAGTCAGATCCTGGAGAATTCGAACGAACCAGACACCTCTGGGTGTTCTCCTTTTGTGGGAGCCCCTGACCTCTTCTGCAGGGCTTCAGGTGCCTATATGCAATCGTTTTGCCAGCTGACTCAGAGGATGACATGGAGATGTTCCTAAAATGTCAAAGCTGTGACAAGCCGATACAAACCGGCTGCAGCAAATCCCACACAGATCGATCGTGGAGCTTCGCTTTGCCCCGAATCGTAGTCCTTTGGATGGACCTGTAGGATCCCAAATCAAACTCGGCGGACCCGCAAAGGTCACCAAATCCACCCATCTGGGGGGGTTTTCGGGGATCGATTCGATCTCAACTCCAGTTTTTCAAGTCCGTCTACGGGGGCACTCTATGAGCTGTCAAAACCAAACAAGCCTCCAGTAAAAATCTGGTAAACCAGCTCCTTCAGTTCTTGATCCTTTTGAGGCTTCAAATCCGTGACCCTTCAAATGCTGAAGAGTGACCTCCAGGGAGCTCAAAGGCACGACAGGAAGAACCCAGTCTCTTCCACTTCCACCAAACCGCCCTCTGAAGCTATCTAGTCACCTTCCATTCCCTGCTCTCTTGGCCCAGCAGCAAGCTCGGTGTTTGAGGGTGTTGAGGCGAGTTCCACTGTGCCTCCTGAGGTGCCAAAAAAAAACTTCGAGGAGCTCAGTCAGAGGGAAGATACCCCTACCCTCTAGACTACCTACCTAGACTCTTTTTGTGACCTCTATTTCAGACCAGCACACAGAGGTCATGTTTGGGTTCTTTATAGGTAGTCACCCACCTGTAGGTTGGGGCCAGAAACCCACAGGAACCTGAAATGTGGACGTCGCGGAGAAAAGAAGAAACACTCAGAACTCTTTCTTTTGGGATCGTTTGATCGTTCTAATACCTAGTTTTACTACCTTGTTCCAGTCATTCACTAAGGTACCTGGATACTCTTCAAAGAGGCTCTTCTCAGTTCATGCCTCAGATCAATCCATCTATCGCACTCTGAACGCAGAGGTCCAGTAGAACGCAGAACCCTCCGACAGGTCACCCCTGGGAGGCCCCGTTCGCACGCGCCGTTCGCACGCGCCGTTACGCGCCTGGAACGTGCGGTACGCCGTAGGAGCTCAGGAGGTACGCGCGCAGGAGCTCGGTGTTATCACAGGGCCATGGTGGAAGATGGTAGGCGGTCTCGGGGAAGTAGGCCTTCGTGGGCTGAGAGTCCGGCGCCAGGGCGCCCCCTCGCCGTGCTTCGGCGACGTGCTTCGGCGCCGGCGACGTTGACACGGGGGGTCACGGTATCCGGTGGACTCCAGCATGTTCATTCTTGCGTAGGACATATAGGAAGATGACAATTAGAACAGGTCCGAAGTGGTGTGTTTGAGACGTTCCAGAGGTTCTGTCTACTTCAGAATGCTTTAACAAAACATCATCATCATCATCATCATCATCTTATTATTATTATTGTTATTCTTCATTATCGTCAACATTCAATACCGGCTCAACCAAAATCTTCTACCTTTCCCTACACTCTTGGCTCCTTCGCTTCCTCGTTTTGGAACCTCTGCGCCTCCTCGTCCGTGTCTGGGTAGCCTTCGCTTGAGCCTGGTGTGAAAAACCGGTGAAGACGGCGGTCTTTCGGCGTGAAGAGCAAGCACGGACGCGAATCCCCAACGAACGGAGCGATCGGACGCTACGAACAGCTTAGCAAAAAATGTAATATATCACAGAATCCCAAGGGCCCAAGCTGTTTGTGCCACCATGCCACGCCTTCTTCGAAATCAGCTGCCCGGAAGTCTTGGTGTTTTTTTTGGGGTTCTTCCAGCTTCTACGTGAAGGTGTCTTGGAATAGGGAGACCACCGGAGACCACCCAATTCTTCGTTTTTTCGTTGGGTCCTTTCACCTGGAGCTCTGCCTGGGGGTCTCCCTGTTGGATAGGGATCTGCCGGGATTGGACCCGGTCCAATCGAGGCGTTCTTCCATCAAAGAGTCCGTCTCGCACCGGTGGCAGACCAGAGGGTGGCAGGTGGATCCACAGGGAATTCGTGTCTCACTGGACCGTTCGGTCCGTGGCCGTGAATCCATCGGGTTTCCAGTCGACGGAAGTCGCATGCCGATTCCTCGCCTTCCATGGCGGACGTCATCGCGGAACGGGGACTCGAAACAGGCTGCCGGCGATGCTAGGGAGACAGGAGCGCCCACTCGAGCCGAAGTAGAGCACCACTCGGGCCGATCTTCAGGGGCGAGAATAAGAGCAACAAGAACCTAATAGCAATGGCCTCCAAGCGAACAGCGATGGCTCAAGAGGAAGGGGCGATGGCTGGGCGATCTGGGGTGAAGATGCAGAGTGTGACAAAGCATTGACTGCGACTCGTACCCCTTGTTTCCAGGGAATGGCAGGGGCACTTGGATTGCAAATCATGCGTCACTTCCTTGATGGCACCCTGGACGCATCACTTTCTGGAGGTGTTGATTTTATAGACTTTGAGAGTATAGGGGGGTGATCAGGTGCCCCTTCACCATTCCCGAGAGTTCAACAAGAGCCCAAGCGGCCCCCTTCAAGCCCGCACGGTACCTCCCACAATCTGGAGGTACCCATCTCCTTCCCAAGATCCTTCCCGCCGTGTCCTGCCGGCGCATCTCCCCAAACGATCCTGCAGCACCGGGAAGCTTCTGAGCGTCCTGAGCGTCGAATTCAGACGTCGAATTCAGACGTCAACTCCATGGGACGTCACAGAATCCATCGATCAACAAGGCCAGCTCTGGCCCTTTTCTCGGCCAGTCACCGGGATGAACGGTTCAGTCCGAAGCGGAGATGTAAAACCACAGATGGCAGTCCCCATGAAGTACCTGGGAGAGACCTCGAGTGGCGGAACAAACAATATGCAGGATTCGGGTGTCCAGAACGGGGCCTTTCCACGCGAGGTACGGATCCCATTTAAAGATGTTACGAGTATTATATATATTATATATATTGTGTGTATATGTATACCTGGAACCCAACTGACCCGTGTTTTGATAGGAAAAGGCCATATTTTGGGTGGTTGGTGGTCCAAAATAGAGGTCATTCAGGTTCTAGGTATATATAATCTATATATATATATATACACATATTCGACAGAGTTACAAAAACAATGTTATAAGTTATAAATATGATGTAATCATAGCTGGACACGAAAATCAAGGTTGGCTCCAGCACCGCGAAGTCCCGGTGGTTTGACACCCTTGACGATGTATGTTGCATGTATTTTCCCAATCACCACCCAAAATCCGTGGTGCTGGCTCTTATGCATCTGTTTTGGCCCGTTTGGCTTAGGCGAACTGCATGTGGGATCGTGTTGGTGTTTGTCCTTTCTCTCAAGCACTTGGTCTTCGTCAGGAACTGTTCTTCGGCTCAGTGTCTTTCTACTCCAATTCCCTTCGGCGGCCAATTCCGACCTCCCCTCCAGAGCTGTTTCTCGGAGATTGAAAAAACCAACCACTCCAGTTGGAAGAACCGCCGGGCCCCTTGCTCTGGACAGGAGGACGAAGGACGACGCCACAACCAAGGACCGCAACGACACATGTGGCGTGTGCAGAACTTTGTCCAAGTGTCTGGGGTGTCCAAGGGCAGGTTGTGCAGTCCCAAGGAGGACTTCCTGAAGTGTCCGGATCGACGGCTCGGGCTCTATGAAGGCTCTATGTGAGCGAGCCGCTCGAGGCTCGGCTCTCTCTACCAGGCAGAGCCCGGGCTCGTTGGAGGGAGTTCAGAGAAGGATGCTCTTTGCGGGTGTTTCTGGAGGAAAATCAAAGAATCCCTTCTTTGGGGCATTTGCAATGATCCTATGAGCCCGATTGTCCTTCTATCACCGGTGGAGAGGAGACTCCTCGAACTTTCGCAGAAGGAGCTTGCCACTGGGATGAGCCACGAAACACCCCAATGGGAAGAGAACGAACTGTTCAGGTGCCCACTCCCTCAAGTGGTGGAGTCTTCTCGGACGCCGATGGGTTTTCACCCAGCTGCGGTCCTGGCCAGTTCGGCCGGCAGCCCGTTCAGACCGGAGCGAACAGGACGCCCAACCAAGCCGCCTTTCTGCCCAACAACGGAAAATACATCCGACTTCATCACACCTGGTGTTCACACCCATCCATGAGGGATTGCAAAAAAAGTCAATTCTACTTCAAACAGAGACCTATTCTTGTCAGCCCAAGAAAAGCTGAAGAGTTCTACCCCTCAAATCCTCATTTTGTTACCTCTCCCAGCATCTGGTCCTTGACTCATTGACTGATCTCTATAGGCCTTAATTAGGGGTCTTTCTTTCTTGGATTTCACATGAACAATCCTTCCCGTCGAATTCGGCGAGACGTTCCAATCCAGGAGACGAAGTGAAGACCAGAGACCGATAGAAGCGACGACCATGGGGCACCTCAACGTGTGGGGGGCAGAACGTGGAACACGCCCGCGTCCGAGTAGGGCCGGTACAGGGCCAAAACCACCCCCCCGCACTCAGATACTCGCAATACCATCGTCCGGTCTGCCATCGCCCATTGGTTAAGACATCACACAGCCTCCGACCGATCCAGCAGTGGATCGGATCCGGACACTCCGGCAGCCCTGCCGTGGTTGGAAGCCACGTTCCCAAGGACCATGCTGGAGGTGTGCAGGGATTTGGTCTGAAAGTCCTGGCCAACCATCTAGTGTTAATGGTCTTTAACACAAAAAAAAACGTGTTTACTAAGGATTTTAGACTACAAGACCAAGTCCACCAATCTTTGAAGGCTAGGGTATCCAAGATTTACCATCCCCAAACTACTGTTGATACAAGAAATCTGTCGGCCATGGACCACTTCCGCCGGTTTCTCTGATCCCGTTGATTCGGCCCAAGCCCTTCCCATGGTCGATCCTTGAGGGGTTGTTCTACCCCACCAGAAGCGAGTCTACCCTTGCGCAAGTCCATACTCGACATACTCCAAGTCCAGTTCGACATACTCTTTTAGGGAACCCACGGAACGGCCGATTTCGGGGATTCCCTTGATCCAAGCCAGCAAATGTAGTGCAAGTGTCAGGCTGGACCTCTAGTCGGGCTAAGCATGGCTCTTCAAGTCGTGACCGAACTTGATTTCCTGGTTTCAGGTCATTTAAGCCTCCAAGGGTCACTTAACCCTCAAAGGGTCACCTTGAAGAAGCTTGATCTTTCTTGGCTCAGGTCCATGCCACCAGTGCACCGCTTTCTGCAAAAGAAGAGGAAGGGAACCATCACCAGATATCATCAGGGCCGTTCTGGACTTTGGACTTTTGGACTCTGTAGATGCCTCTCAGAACTTCAGTGTTCCGATGCTTCTTGTGTTCCGAAGCTCGCTCCATCTGCTTCAGGGCTCGGTTCGCAAAGCCCTGGTTGATGGACTCAGGATCTCTTTCAGCATTCCTGTGCCTTTCAGCATTCCTGTGCCACTGCGACGTGAACAGCAGACCCGACCTGAAAAAGGCCCATATGGACCGGCCCATATGGTGCCAGGCTGCCAGGGCTACTAGACAATGATCAAGTCATGAGACCTCTTTCTTACCCCAGCCTGGCTGGCCATACTTCTACCCACCATCTGAAATCTGCACAAATGCATCAACCACTAGGAGGGTCTTTCCAAGTTAGATCACAAAACCCCCACCTACAGATCCCCCAACGAGGCCATCCCGTGCCAGGCGCGCGGTACAAGAGACACCCGCTCCAAGCCGAACTTCGATCCACCCGAACACTTCACGGCCGAAGAAGACCCAGATCCCCCCAGCGCGTGGGACGCGTGGCCAACGGCGCACGAGTGTTCGGAGCACTTCGGCCCAGGGCGCCAAGTTGAAGACCAAGACCACTTCGTGGGTCTTGGAGACCAAGACTTCCTCCGCTCGGCGGTAGAAGGCGGAGGCTTCTCCGAGGCGAACCCTTGCGGGAGAAGGGTGGAACACCATGGTCGGAGCTCCCAAGCTAGAGGAAAGCACTCTTCCAAGGTGCCGTTCCCGGGTTTGGATGGTGGTTGGTTCCTCCACATTGTGCAGGTCAGGTGCGTAGTTATATATATATACTGTATATATATATATAATTGTGTTCACGATGTCACTTTTCTTTCACCCAACCCTGGCCCAACCCTTCAAATCTCGAGCTCGTGCATGAAATCACGCTTAAGCCCTCCCTCGCCTTCCACGTGGCCGCCTGTTGCTCCTCCTCCTGCAGGCGGTGAAAATAGACATGTGGCGATCAGAAGGTGGATCTGCTGGTTTTGCTCCGTCTGCGAAGTCGTCGAAGACGAAGGATGAATGCTGAGAAGGGTGAAAAATTTTGCCAAGCTAAACGACATGTGGACAACATGTGTCGACAAACAGACAAACCTTCATTCCATGCTGTGTGTAGACAAGCAGCTTCTAAGGCGAACCTACACAATTGGGATTCCAAAAACCCAAGCGGTGCACCCGGGCGACCGCAATAAAAACCTTTAGCCGAAAGGCTTCGTTTGCACACATTTTCCATCCCTGTCCTGCAAGCCTTTCTTGCAGCTAAGGACTAAGGAGAAGTCGACCTGATTCGTTCCCTCTGCTAGCCAGGAATCTTCACAAAGTGAGCGTCTTACTGGAAACCATGATCGAAACCATCCCATTCCTCATCTGAAGGTCCCCATCATACTACACCACAGAGCGCCTCTGCAAAGGGGGAGCGAAACAGGGCGTGGCCACTGGTCGCCCCGCTGTTCCCCCGGTCCTTCGACTGAGCAAGGGGCACACCTTGATCTTCCTTGGGGTTCACCCCATGATCAAAGCCCAGCAGCCGAATCCTCAGCAACCCAAGCTCCACGACCGCCGGCGACCGCCGGCGATCGCTGGCATCATCAGTCGGATCATCCTTCAAAAGGAAAACATGTGTTTGACTGTGCCACTCCACAGTTGGGTAGTTTGAGTAGATTACCATGAGTCATTGGGCAATGCCGTATGATTCCCACCTGCAGGATATTGACTATCACTGCGTGCATGGAGCAGTTGGGAAGTTTTAGCATTGGGTGTACATCTGTCTGTCAACATGTGGATGAATATCATCATCCAAAAAAGATAGAGGGCAAATATGGCACAGTGCAAATACATGCAAAAAATGTACTTGATTCCTTGATGTACGTAATCCAGGCCAAGTTGTGGCAACGTCCACCCATCATGGCATAAACAGTTTGTGTTTCTTGTGGTTCCACCTGCCGTCACCCCTCCCCACCTCCTCAAATCATGGGAAACGGGAAGCGATTTAGAAAATGCTGCCAGCGCCTAGGTACTCTGTGTCGTTTGCACTGCTCACCTTCTCTGGCAACAGCAGCTGGTAGCGCAAACGGCGGTCCTCCACGGATCAGAGCTGTGAAACCAGTTGCCGTCTGACAGCTATCCCATTGAAGTCAAAGCAAGCTTGGCCGTCACTTTCTGGTTCCAAATCCTGACCCAACTTCACCGCAACCCCCGCAACACGAGTTCGTTCTCGACGGTGGCCTGCCCTTCGTCCCGGTCCAAAACCCGCCAACGCAAACGCCCGGTGACTCCTCCGGGTCCGAGGGGAATAGCTCCAAGAGCACCGGCACCAGCACATCCAGCAGCCAACTGGCAGTGCCGAAGCCGGGCCGAAAAACATGTGGCCCCGGCTTCGCATTTCAGCAGCTTTGGTGGAGGTGCTCTGCCAGGAATTTTTGTTTGGCGCCCAGCAACTGGCCGAAAAGTAAGCCAAAAGGAGACCCGCAGAAGTATAATTCCATCCATGACCCGTCCGGCTACTGGCGTTGAGATCTCCGGGGTGGTTGGAATAGAAGTAGAAGTACAAGTAGAAGTAAAAGAACAAAAGTAGAAGTAGAAGTGGTAGCAGTTGTTGTTGCTGTTGTAGCTGCACCAGTAGTCGCAGCAGCAGCAGCAGGAGCAGCAGCAGGAGGAGGAGTAGTAGAGTAGCAATAATTAGTAGTAAGTAGTAGTAAGTAGTAAGTAGTATATAAGTTGTTAAGTAGTATGTAGTACGTAGTATATAAGTTGTAAGTACTATGTAGTAAGTAGTATATAACTTGTAAGTAGTACGTAGTAAGTAGTAAGTAGGTATAGGTAGTAGTAGTAGTAGTAGTCGTCGTCGTCGTCGTCGTCGTCGTCGTCGTAGTCGTAGTCGTGGTAGTAGTCGTGGTAGTAGTCGTGGTAGTAGTAGTAGTAGTCGTCGTCGTCGTCGTGGTGGTGGTGGTGGTGGCGGTGGCGGTGGCGGTGGCGGTGGCGGTGGCGGTGGCGGTGGCGGTGGCGCTGGTGCTGGTGCTGGTGGTGGTGGTGCTGGTGGTGGTGGTGGTGGTGGGGGTGGCAGTGGCAGGAGCAGGAGCAGCAGCAGCAGCAGCAGGAGGAGGAGGAGTAGTAGTAGTAGTAGTAGTAGTAGTAGTAGTAGTAGTGGTAGTAGTAGTAGTAGTAGTAGTAGTAGTCGTAGTAGTCGTAGTAGTAGTCGTGGTAGTGGTTGTGGTAGTGCTGGTGCTAGTGCTAGTGCGAGTGGTATTCTGTGAGCACTGCCTCACCTGGCCAACCTGGATTCGGCCTCACCAGGAGGCCGAAGTCTAACTGGTTGAGATCTTCGAGCATCGTCCGCAGCATGGTTCACCAGACCGGGAGGCCATGAAGGCAGTGACGACACCATGGAAGGCAGGGACGTCTGCTCATCGCTGCTCCCAACCTAAGGGAGTTGGTCCTGAAGTTCCTCTCTTCACTTTTGAAGTTGCTCATGTCTGGCTCATGTGGTCACGTTCCTGGACTGCTGCAATCCATTGATCGAGCTGACTTGTTTGCTTTTCACTCGGAAGTGCTTTGAAAACCTCGGTGGGGATGGAAACACCCACTGTCCAGGCAGGTATGAGGCGTTATATTGTTCCACGAACCTTATCAGGTCCATGCTGGATTTCTGAGACAGTGAGAATGGGTCCGGTCTTCAGGTGCTCAGGCGCTCTAGTCAAACACCCGCCAAATCGACGGTCCTGCCATGTGCCTGGGCTGTTTGAGGTGTTTTGGGTCCCCCATGTGCCAAGGCCTTCGGCTGCTAACGCCGCACATGCACTCACCGACCCGGTGGTGAAACATCACCCGACCCGGCGGTAGTTAAACAAGATCCCGTCTTGCCTTCACCCAGAACCTGGTCAAACACCGAAACACCAACCATTGAGAAACGTTTGATGGCCATTTTCCAACCTAGTCAACCATTGGGTCGCGTCGGTCAACCTCACCAGCCTCTCCGGCGCGCCGGCGCCGCTCGGGCCTCTCCGGGTCTGGCAGGGAGGGCCCCTCGTCGGCATAGAGATCCAGCGGCCGCGAGAAGCGTTCGCCCAGGAAGACGCCCTCCGTGACCTGGGTGTCCCGCGGTGGGCATCGGACCATGGAGAAAACGGGCTTAGCGGGCTTAGAGGCTTGGCTTAGGTTTGGGATCCTCTTTAAGAGGAGGATAACATCTGAGTGGAGTTCAGAGCACCTGGTGCCAAAGCACACAGTTGAGAAGCTTAGAACTTCAGCACACAGTTGAGTTGCCAAAGCACGCAGTTGAGAAGCTTGAGCTTAGTACACAGTTGAGTTGCCAAAGCACACAGTTCAGTTCAAAGCACACAGTTGAGAAGCACACAGTTGAGCACCTGGTGCTGACTTTTCATCATCTCCAAGGGATCTAAAAGTCCCAGTGGCTGGTGAACATGAAGCACTACAGGTCCAATCCAGTAAGATCTGGTCCTTTACCTCATTGAGTGTTCTTGTACGATCAACTTCGGTCCGTTCCTGACCTGCGGTAGCGCAGGGTCTGTCTTTCTCACTTCGTAGAATCCGAATCAATCCGTGCACTGCCCCCACCTCTCGGTTTCACCCGGTGCACGCGAGTGAAACCGCCCGTCCCAGAAGGCGTCAGATGCTCCAAACCAAGGCCTGAATTGTTTTCTGAATAGCCTCCAACCTTATAGCAATGGCCTAGGTTGGAATAGCAATGGCCTCCAATCTGATAGCGATGGCCTCCAACCTAATGGCGATGGCCTCCAACCTTATTCCTAATGGCAATGGCCTCCAACCTATAATAACATATAAAATGAGGTGAAGGACGCTGATCGTCTTTTTCACGCGACGACTTCCGTGTGGCTGTGTTTCGCCTTAAAATGCCCAGCTGTCGACCACGTTGTCGTCACCATCGACGCGACGCGTGTCTCGCTTTCACATGGATCCTCCAAAAAAACATCAAAACTGACGAGATCTTAGAAGGAAATAGATGAAATGCAGGTGGTTTTAACGTGGAAGTGCCAGCAAGGTTTGCTCTAAACATGGCATTGGAGTAGCTCATACTGTGTTTTAAACATGGATTGCCTCAAGTTGCTCTTTTCTGAACGTGGAATTGACCAAAATGAGGCGATTGGGGGGTTGTCGCCATTCTAGTTTTCCCCGACTCCAATCATCTTCCGACAGCAGCTAGAATGGCTATAACGGCGGCTACAATCAGCATTAATGGCTATAGCATACCAACAATAAGAAGAATCCGATCTTGGAAGAAGCGATTTGTGCTTTGTATTTTTCTCAGGAAAGAAAGACTCCAGCTCACCGGTCAGAAAGATTTCAGGTTCGAGGTCTGAAAAACCCCTGGCTCGGAAGACTTCGGAAACCGTCTGTTTCAGACCTTCAGCTCCGGAGTCCAGCTCCATGTTCCGTCCCCCGAGCTCAACCACCCCCATGGAACTGCCATAGGACTGCCGCCCCATTTTTCCCTCGGTCCACCCCTGGCCATTTCTCGGCAGTCCGGACTGGCAGTCGGTCTATCGTGTCTGGAGTCTGTTCGACGGAGAGTGCTCGGTCTGATCGGACGATTCCCTATTATAAGCTAGTAGAAACAAGTGCATCGCTTCTAGTAACAAGCGCCTTACTAGTAGTAACAACGTTTACTATTAGAAACCAATTTTCAGTTTGAAATACTAGTCCCAAGCTGCTGGCTGCACTTTCGGGCGTCGTGCACCTGGCAAGCAGAAGCGTCGCAAAACTTCGCATCGCGCACGTCAACAGACGGTCGGTCGGTCGTGACCGTCACCCGATCTGAAAAACGAACAGGTACTTACTTGTAGCATCTTGTACCTGCATGTTCCAAGGGTGTCCTTTTTCAGCTCCCTGCCGCAAAAGTAGACTTTTCACGGGAAAAACATTTTTTGTGAGTGGACTGAGATGGATTTGATTGGTTTCGTCAAATACAAGGGGCGATCTCGGCGCCAACCAAACACTGCGTCGGTCTATGCGGGGTGTTGGCGTGATCAAAATATGTCAACATCTTTCAACCCCATACGGTAGTTTCAGGTATGTGCTGGTGTAGACAATCCATGTTTCTTGGAAGTCAGGTTAGACTTTTGATGATATTTCGGGGGTGTCAATGGTGTCACTGAAAAGGCGTTCAACCGATCTGGAGAAGATTGCTGGGATTCCTTTGAGAAAAAAGAAGGGCATTTTGAGTTTGATTGTAGTTTCAGCTATCATGACCAGTCTTGGCAAACAGCTAGCAGCCATGCGGGGTTAACCGCTCTATCATGCATGAAATAACACGCTCCAAAACAGGTTCGCTATGTCTTGGCACATGTCCATAGACCTGCTAAAGAACAGGGCGGGCAAAACACCTAGGTTTGGAATCACCTCCCACAATTTGATCCGTTGCGGCATGAGCACCTGGACCCGCAAAAAAATCCATAGGTTCCAAGGTTTGCCAGGGTCGTCTTTTTCTTTGGAGGGTCTGAAAGTTTTGACTCTAGGCTAAGGGGTCAGAATATGGTACTGCCTTTTGGTTCCACGTACCTATCTTCCGAGCTACGAAGAGGGGTCGACTCCAGGAAGAACAGGCCCCCGGAAGAATCAGCGTACCAACACGTTTTTTTTGTTTTTTTTTGGACGATGCAGTGGAGCTCGGAGGAGCGTACGAGAATTCTTCCGGAACGGCACTTTGAGGTGTTTCTCCTAGGCTTCCAACCACCCTTAATAGGCTTTACTGAATCAACTAAGGATTTTTTACACTACAAACACCAGGTCAACCATTTTTGTAATGGTCTTGGAAGTGGTTTCACTGGTGGAATGCTATCTGACCACTGCCGAGCCAAAGCGAAACAGCGAGCTGAACGGAGAGGAGCCCTCAACACCTTCGCAAAGCTTGCGCTCGCCTCGCCCAAAGCCCATGGGCCCCAAGGGAGGCCCACTCTCCTCGCCGCCGGGCGAGGGGCCGCCGCAGGCCACGCAGCTGTCCGCGGAGGTCTCAGGGGATGGAGGCATCGACCGGTGTCGGTCGAACGGTCTCGGGACGCCAGGAGCTCTCAAGGGCTGGGAGCCTCCAAGTTCTTCCAAATTCAGACAGGAGTTGACCCAGGCGTGCTTTTGAGTCCCATCCCGGGGATGTTCTGGGCACCTTCACCCTCCAATAAGCACCCCTTTGGAACTGCTGGAAGATGAATGGGTGTTGGTCGATCATGGTCTGTCATTGTTCAGAAGTTCCCGAACAAGCCCTAAGCGCCCTTCCCCCCGGGTTACATGCCCGGTCCGACCTCCAGCTTGCAATTGATCATAGTACAACGCTCGCACTGCCAGCAGCCGTTGCTCTGCCCACAGCGCCCGCAGCGCGCGCTGGAAGGAGCTTCTTGAGGACCACCGGCGCCTGCAAGGACTTCGGAGTGGCGAAGCACAAAGAGATCCACAGCCACAAGCTGGATCCTCCAACAGGTGTTTCCTGCTTAGGGGTCGAAAAACAGCGGAGAAAGGGGTCCCGTCCTCAAAAAGAGGTTCCTCCGCATCATCCAGGTGAGGAACAACCACCAGTGGGTCTAAAAGATGAACGGCGTTTGGAAGAGATGTCGGTGGCGAAGGGTGATCTGTAAGGAACATCAAGATCTGTACCAGCTCCGCCCAAGGGATTGTTATTGGATGGAAAATACATTGTCAAGGGCCAGGGAGGGTCCACTAGAACTACCCCAAATGGGTGGTGCTATTCCTAACAGTTTTTGGTCTGTTCGGGGGGGGTTCTCCCGCCCCAAATCGACATCAAAAGACACCATGCACACCAAACGAGTCGATCCCCAGAGCCCCTCACTCCTCACCTTGCTTAAAGGCTGCCAGCGGAGATGGGCTCCACTCCATCAGATCAAAGCTCCGGCCCACCAGATGCACCCACAGCCGGTGCCTCGTGGCCCGCAGAAAGCTTGATGTGTCCGGGTTCCATGCGTTCCGCCCGCCTGTGCCTCGGAGCGTTCTTCAGTTTGTCTATACTTCCAGAAGAAAACCAGGAGCCAGGAGTCCAGGAGGTAAGAAAACATCGACATGTGTATTGTCGCTGCCAAGCAGTCCATCCAGTTTGGGACAGGAAACATCACCTTTTGACCACCCAGTTTCGCCTTTGGGTGGTCACCACAGCCCAAAGGCCCCGGCCCCCGAAAATGGAGGGCATTGACCCTGCGTTTCGCAGGGGCGTGGACCTCAAAACATGTCTGTTTTGAGGGCGGCTCGATCCTTATAGGGCAAGGGAAACAGGAACACCCACTGCCAGGATCCACTTTTCAACTATCCACTCCACAGCCCTTTCAGTTGGCTTGGAGTCCCTGTTTGCCAGATAGCTGAGAGCTCTAAGGGCTCGTATACTTCTCAATGAGTCGCTGGGTGATCGGCCTTGTCTCCCACTGGTCTCCGCATGTTTCGAGCCCCCACGTCCGCGCCGGTGCCCGCACGAACCCGCCCCCGCCCGGGCTCTTCTCTCCGGGGCGATCTCCGCGACCCACGTCGGAGCCACGGGCCACGTGGTGCCTCGTCCCATCCCCATCGGTGCTCCACCCCTGCCGCTGCGTGGGCGCGCGCGGCACCGAGGCGCTGCGTGCGACAGACCACGCCGCACTGCAGGGACGCGTCGCCGAAGATCGTCTCAAAGTCCTAACGGATCGGGTCTGGTCCGGTCCGTGGTGGGAGGGGAGAGAGGGGGTCGAGTGGCTGCACCAGCCGATCCTCCAACGATGCCAGTCAGTGAAGGCCGTTGCATCCAACCAGCCAAGTGAAGGCAGTTTCGTGTGGCAGAAGTTGGGAAGATCCAGGTATACCTCATACATGGATCTTCCAACTGTGCATCATTTCCGCCCAAATTCATCGATAAAAGGCATACCCTTCTATTAATCAACCAACCAATGGTGAAAGGCCATGTCCGAGAGCAGGTCTGGATTTCTGCCAGGAACCGAATGAATTTTCAGGGGTCACCTGGTCACGTGTTGGCGGTCCACCTGTGAGAAGGAGGTCAACCTGCCCCCCTCAAAGACCTGATGGACCCACCACCCAGATCTTCTCGTTCGCCCTCGTTCCAAACCGAAACTTGCTCCGTGCGCCTCGAAGCGGGTCATGGAGTCGGGCAACGGCTTCAACCCATCCTCGCCTTGGGAAACCAAGACTAGCTCCGTGTCCAGCGGTCTAAGAAGGGTTTGAATGAATGCATTTGACAGATACAAAACAACCAGGACCTTCCAACAGGCTTTAGAAGCCTAACAGATCCTAAGAGGTGGTGGTTTCCGGGCACCGAAATGGTCACCAGGAAACACCTGGCCAGGAGGGTCCAGGAACCTACAGCATAAGAACTGAACAAACAACCCCTATAAGTCCTACTTGACCATGGTCGCTTTTTGTGGGGGGGGGAGTAGCGGTTTTCAACCTCCCACATTGAGAGACACCGCACCGCCTCGGAAGCCAGCCTTTCGGAAGCTCCAACCCTCCCACCACCCTCGTGGCTGACCTTGTGGCCTGCACCGTCTTCAGTTGGTTGAAGACGGGGTGCCTTCTGAGACGGCTTCGGTCTGTCCCCATGTCCCCAACTCGTGGCCGAACGAGACTTTTCGGACCGAGTTACGCCACAACAGCTCGCCGGTCTGCACGCTGAGTTGAAGATCACCAGCCAAGAAGACCCCGCCGCCCTGCGTGGATGCCATGGATGCGGCAGGTGACTGGACCCTAGGCTTCCTAGGCTTCCTAGGCTTCCTGGCCCACCATTCATTTAATAGACTTGACCGAATCAACTTAAGGATTTTACACTACAAAAACCAGGTCAACCAGATTTTACAGCAAGTAATGGTCTTGGAGGTCTAGGGTTGAACTATTGCCCAAACTGGACTGTCTGCTGATTCCTTGCAAAGACATGCATGGTTTCGTCTTAAGTGAAATCATCGAACTACCTTCAGTCAGTCATGAGTCTTCAGGTACGCACTTGCCAAGTCTTCTTTTCATCCCTTCACTTCACCACTCTGCTTCACCACTCTCCCCACTTTCCAGTGATTCTGATACATTCCGATGACCTCCCCTTCACCACTTTCCCCACTTCTCCCCTTGATCTCCAGTGCCTTGTGGCTCCACTGTACATTCGAGACCTCCGAGCGCAGCCCCGTGGAGCACACCCGCGTCCTAGGCCAGGACGTCGCAGAAGCGCACCACGGAGATAGTACGTACTGTGGCCGAAAAAGGAGAAAGGCGAGCAAACCGTGCTAGGCCGTGCTGCGTTCGATGAAGCATGGTGGTGTCCTTCTGAAGCCACGAAAGAGACATGTTCGGCTCTGGAGTCGTAGCCTGGGCTCGCCCCGAAACCTTCGAGTAGAAGCTGGTGTCCTTGTGGCCCACCCCTTCATGAGCCCGCTCGCCGAGCTGGAGAGATCAGGAGTGCTCCAGCAGAGAAGCTCCCATCCGGCCATTCAAAGGCCCCCGACGCTCAGCAATTTGAGCTCTCGCCACGAATCACATGCCCCCCACATTCGGACCCCAGGGAACCGTGTATGATGAACCAGACATGAACGGGATTGCGATGTGAACATGCGATCCGCTGGGTCCTGCGGCATTTCACCCGCAATCGTCCCGAAAACAAACTTGACCTATTCGAAGGGCCAACCGGACCACGTTTCAGAGGCACTGTTGGATCAGTTCTTTCAAGAAAGGGTGTAAGGACCTGAAATGTCTTGCCACCTTAATAGCAATGGCCTCCAACCTAAGAGAGGTGGCCTCCACCCTAAGAGCTATGGCCTCCACCCTATTTCCTTCATGAGTTGATGCAAAGATCTGCTCTCCAAGGTGCAGTGACTCACTCGGAGACTCCTGGAACGCTGCGATGATCTGGGGCCGTCGAGACCTGGGCGGGCGGGAAGAACACGCAGGGTGCGGAAAACGGAAGAAAGAGATGCGGAACAAAGGAAAACGTGTGATGGAGATGGGCTTTGAAAACGGTCCACCCATGTAGCAGACAGCAGGTTTTTCGGAGATTCTAGCAGAGATGCGACTGATACACCTCGTGTAGAAAGTCGAAAGCATCCTTTTTCAGACCCGCTAATGGTCTGTCAACCTCAGGGGGGAATTCTTTCATAGACCACTACACTTCAGGCTTCATCCGGAAGAAGCGCTTCAAACATTCTCTTCAGAGCTTCACCGAGAGATCTGGCCCCACTCGTTTGCGAGGAATCATCTACAGCTAATCACATTTCTGGGAGACCTCCAAGAGGGGACGTCTAAAGAACCCAAAAGAAAAGAGCAGGCTTTCCCGACCAAAATGCTGGTTCCACTGTGATTTTCTTCAGACTGCTCCTTGGAGAAGGATTCATGATTCCGACGCCAAAAAAACAAAACTATACAAATGTCACTGAAATTGAAATCGGCATGATCCCCACATCTCCCTATTCCAATACACACCTTGGCATCAAAGAGCAACCCCCCTCTGCACCTCACGATCCGCGAATTCTCCAAGCAGCTGGATCTCCCGAAAAACCCGGGCCTCTGGCACACCTGCGCAGGCTGTGCAACCACAACCCCTCTGCAGGGTTTGTGGAGGATGTGGAGAGGCCCTAAGGCCCAAGAAGCAAAAATGCACCCCCTTTCTCCAAACCTGCCAAATTCTGTCAAAAACTCTGGCCAAGCTTCGACCTCGTGGTTGGGCACCCTGGTGGACTTTGCAGGTCTTTCAGGTCGAGGCCGCCAGTGCGTCGAGAGGAAGGGCTTGAAAAAATTCGCCCCAAACCCCCGCGTCGTTTGGATGCGTCGAATTAGATGATGACTTCGTGCTTTTGTTCTGAAATCATGATGACGATACTGAGGTATGCTATCGTCCCACTGCTATTCACAGAAATCATGATGACGGTCTCAAGTTCCATCATCCCCCCCTCTGTTCGATGCCAGACCGGCTCGCACCGATGGTTGCCGTTCCCACTCGTGTCATCACGCACCGGGAACTGAGTTCCCCGGGCAGAGTGCACACTTGGCGCTGTCCCTGGCACTTCATGGTGCAACCAGACGGTTCCCGAGTTGCTTCAGCCCTGTCTGCATGTCTGACATGATGCAACCACATCGCAAGTGCCGCCATGCGACCACATCTTAAGTGCACCTGTTCCTATGAATTCTTTGTTGAGGGCGATCGAAGTTTGACTTTGATCTCTTTGATCGCCAGTAAACCCCGTACACCTCCCGTTCACCTTCCTTCCGTTCGATGCAAATAGTTGGAGACCTGGTGAAACTGCAGGTTCTTTGGTACCCAGACACTCCATGTATGGCAATGGAATATCTGCAATGTATGTGCCTAGATTGAACACTCAATCATGGCGGTCCCAGACAGGTCGTGTCTGACATCCAAAGAACTATCAAAACTGGGGTGTCTGATGTCTGGACGCCCCAGTGTTGAGACCTCTGAGACTTCGCAGTGGGTGTGAGTCTATCTCACCACTGCCCTGACTAGTGGAAAGTTTCGGCCACTAGAGATTCCTTTGGATCCAGCCCAAGCGAGTCCCTTCCTTCCTCCCACGTCCAGCGGTCCAAAACCGGCCTGGACCGGAAGTTGGGCACACGCACCGTCTGCTGCCCCACGCGCAGGAAGACGGGGCGGTAGCGGCCGGCCTCCTGGGAAGGTGTTCGGGGGCGGTTCCGGTGCGGTTCCGTCGCCGGATGCGTTCGGTCGATCCGAAGTTGAACGAAGTCTCTTCGATGGGTAGGCTGTAGCTCCCGGTCCATTCTGGGCAGAATGAGGCAATGACCTCTTAGGTCTTAGGTGCTTGATATTCATAGGAAGCAGGCCACACATCTATCTAACATGTTGTGCCACGCATGAGGACTTTGGTGCCCTTGGAACTTCTTGCGACGTGCGGATGCAGAACTGAACGAGAAAACATCGCCTGTTCCCCAAAGGAACAGCTCCAGCATGAGAACACATCTTCCAGTGGAAAAATCGGTGAAGACAAGGTCTCCCCGTGCAGCACATGGGATTACTCTAAGCCAAGCTTTTGGAACTTGGGCTGGGACAAGTCCAGTCGAGTCCAACTCGAACAAATCAATGAGGCAAGACCAGGTGGCACAGGACAAAAATTAGTCCAGCATAGGACAAGAGATGGAAACCAGTGAGTCGAATCTCCTGCTTGGTGAACTGGTTGAGCATCTCTTCACTGGTCCTTTTGGTGTCAATGCCCTGCACAGACGAGGCTGGTGAACACAGGTGACCATGGGCCAGGTCTGACCAGACCCAATGGGTGGTGCAGGAAGTAGGGCACATCGACCCCAAACGGCCCAAGTAAGACAGTAAGACACAGGAAGATAGATAATAGCCACTAGCAGCGATGGCCTCCAACCTAATAGGGATAAAAGCGATATATATATATATGATCGAGGGTCCTTTAGGTATCATTTCGTACTCAGAAACAAACACAAATGATTTAATTTTCAATTCAAATATTTATTGCAAAAAGCATTTGTAAATTAAAAATTGATAGATTTTGATGTTTTATTTATTTTTTT